CCCCCCCCCTTTGAGGAACACATGCTTTGGGCTTTCACCCCAAACTTCCCTTAGTATCAGGAGTTAGTCTCTAAGACAAGCTCGAAACTTACTAAATATGGAATGTCCCTAGATTGTGAATTTGGACACGGGATGAACACCATTGTGTTCAGAATGATCTCTATATTCTGTAGATATGCCAAATGAGCAAATCTGGACACTTTCCATAAATAGCATTTGGGACCGAAATGAAACTAACACGAAGGGCATGATAGCAAGGGTGTTTGGCAGACATGGTAAGCTATCATCTAGCGATATTGAGGGACCAAGCTCAATATTGCAGGGGTTCCTAACACTAACAAGTGCAAATCAACATCATGAGTTTCTCATCACCGTGTCAAGTCTGCTTGACTAAATGACAACTTAGGACTTCCTTCCTTAGTGCCCTTTTGGTCTAAGTGCATATGTGATGACCAATTTCTCAACTAGTTTAGGCGGAGACTAATAACGGGTCCAGCAATACCAACCTCCTGCCGTCGTGGCAGTAAAGAAAGAATATCTGAAAGGACTAGCCGACAGGTAACTTTCGATACCCGAAGTCACATTCGCGACAATTAGCAATAAGTATGCTATTATTGCCTTTGACTACTTGACTCACTAAGTGGAAGTTGGTGTTCTTGCTAGTGCATTAACAACTATTGTTGAGTACTTCCTCCTCAATCAAGTGGTGTTTCAATATTCCTATCTAGAGCGAATTCTCTCAGATAATGGTCTTGCATTTATGGCTAAGGCATTTCATGTTTTAACATCTTGACTGGGGATACACCATACTTTTACAAGTGTTTTATCGGTTTAGTGGAATAGCTCATTTGGACCTTTAAAGGGATGATTATGAAGTATATGAACTTTAACATTTAGATTGAGATGATTATTTGCCCTCTTTTTGGTATGTGTATATTATAGGGGTATAAAATTCTATTAGTGCTTCACTATATAAACTTCTATATGGTAATGATCCAATATTATTAACAGAGTTGAGTTGCCGATATTAGATCTTGGGATTAATATTTAAAGAGCATTCTTCCAGTTGTCTGAGTTGAGTCTACTAAATTTTTAGGCCACATACAAGTGGGACAACAATGGCACTACAATTCCCATCATTGTCCACCTATGAAGTACAAAGTGAATGACTTGGTGTTAGTCAATTTTCTCAATTTTACGGTATATGGTTTGTCTAAAAGGCTTCTTGTTTAGTGAAGGGACCGTATCAGGTGTTGTAGTAAGTTGGATTTCAAGTTTATGAAGTTTGGCATTATATTCAATAAGCTAATCCTCCAAAAATTATACATATACAATAGCTAAAATACTTCGTACAAAGGGATCAAGAGCAATTAATACCACTTACAAATCTATTGGTGCCTCTTCTTAATGTTCCTCTAGATCCCAACCTAAACTAAAGAACTTAATTGCCTTCTATCCTTCTAAGAAAAGGAGATGAAATCCAAGTATACAATTACAATGATATATATTAATATTAAAAGTTGTATATAATATTACTATAGTGGATTTTGAATTATCGGATTGGTTTCAATCCAAACTTGTATAAAAAATAGGGTTTTTGGACTAATAAAAATCCACTTCACACTCATTTAATAACCCTTACCATAAATCATGCATTGAAATGAGATTTATATCCCATATTATATGAGATATGGGATTAGGTTACCAAGTAGTGCATTTAACAGAAAATGTCTCACTAAGTCAATATTCCCCGCTTCCATAGAAGCATTGCCATCCTCCCATGTCTCCACTAGTGACAATGAACACTCCCTTATAGAGCTTTCTCATTGGCAAGAGGGTGTAGTGATCCTTCATGTTGGTTGTAGTGGTGAAGTTGTTTTCTTGGGGCTCCACAAAATGGATGTAGAGGAGGCTGAATTTGTGGGTTGGACTTAGAGGCTCCCAGATTCCAACTCTGATCTCCTTGCAAACAGCTTCCAGGATCTCTAGAGCAAAATGGCAGCTGTTCTCTCTTTAAAGAACTGGTCGATGAGGGCTCCATGAATTTCGACGCCATCAAAACCTGCAAACCCATTCTTTGTCAGTTAAGATCTTTTAGTTTGGTTTTGACCTGCTCATATGTGCAGCAATCCTAAAGTCATCCATGGTGCCAGGGAACTCATTGGTTTCCAAGAATCTTGGAGTGGATAAGTCAACCTACCATGGAGCTTTCTTATTGGAGGAAGATAATGGGGTAAGCTGGGCATTCCTAATAAAAATTCCTTGAAGCTTACATGTGTGATAACATGCCAAAGTTGAAGGATAAATCCCTCCTTTGTTATGCACTGCCTGGACAATTGGTTTCCAGGCCTCAACTTGTTCCTTGGACCATGTTCCTGTACTGTCTGGATATCTGCAGGAAAAAGATGAATAGAAACCACACTCGTGACTATAGAACCATACCCAGTTTAGTGGGAGAGATTGGAGTGGCCTCGGCTATCAATAATCCCCTATGAGTAGTTCTCTGGGCATAATAAGTCGTAGCATGAGGCTGTGGTTCGTAATTATATGATTTACACCTTGTAAGTGGAGCAACCTCTGATCAAAAGCCAACTTTTAGGAGAAAAAGAACTGCTTCTTCTCCTGAGAATGAGAGGATGTTCTTATTGTTGTTGAATCTCTTGTGGCGCTTCCATGATTGACTGTACTCAATCTTGAGAACAATTCTACCTGCATAAGCGATAGCAGGATCCATTTTCTTCCAAGTTACCTTTGGAATGTCAAAGCTCGTGCAAGAGAAACGTAACTTCACGGTACATAGTTGTAGAAAATTACAAAAACGTAACTATTTCGCCTCCGACTTTTTAAGATAAAAAACAGAGAAAGTGTGATTTCCTAACAGTTTAAGTTTCATCCACGAGAAAAGAATAGGACAAATAGCCGACCACGTCGGCCTTTCCACTTTCCACAGCAGCATTGCCATCCTCCCCTGCCTTTCTCAGTGGCCAGAGGCTCATTCGGGCCTCCACGAAATAGAGAAGAGTCCGAGCTCCATTGGATTGGAATCCAGCTCCAACAAAGTCCGAGAAGAACAAGCAGATCCCAACTCTTCCTGGGCCGATCTCCTCACAAAAGATCTCCAGAGCGAACCTCTCAAGCGAGGTCAGTTCGATCGTTGGTTCTGTCTTTGAGGAACTGGTCGATGCGGCAGCCGTGAGCTCCATGGATCTCGACGCCTTCAAAGCCTGCAAATCCATTCCTGAAGGTAAGAAGAAAATTCCTTCCGAAAGATAAGAGATTGGAGCTCCTTGGCCAGGATGATAAGCTGGGCAATTTGAAATTGCTTGTGTGAGAAACTCGTCCAGCATGCAAGATTTGAAGGATAAAATCACCTCCTTTGGGTGGCTCGCTGCCAAGATCCAGCTTTAGGCATACACTGCCTGGACAATGGGTTTCCAGGCCTCGATTTCCTCCTCAGTCCATATCCGTCTGGATATCTACTTCGACCAAAATCCACATCCCAACGTACCCCAATCCAGTCGGAGAGATTACAGTGGCCTACAATCCCCCTCGAGTAGTTCTCTGGGCATAGTAAAGCGCGGCGTGTGGTTGTGGGACGTAATTGTACGATAGAGACCATGTAAGTGGAGCAAGTACCACTCTGGAAAGGATCATCCAATTTTGATTGCCATGTCAAGAGCTAGTATGGTAGTTCTTACATGTGATTGAGCGAGAAATCGCCCAGCTGAAAGGGCCTGAGCAGTTCCGAGTTAGTGATACAATCTATACGACTCTAGGGTCATTTTAAAGGAAAGCACGTATAATGGATTCGCTAGAAATCTCGATGGCGCAGTACAGATGATCCTTAGTTAAAATCTTGGAGGGATAAACTTTACCATGAATGCCTTTTAGTTAACTTTTCTACTTTGGATATAACATATTTTAGGGATCCAAGATCATCCAGAGGTACGTCGTCGCGGCGCCATGAGCTGCCTAGGGCTGGATCTTGGCAACGAGCACAGCCGCATTGCGATCGCGCGGCAGGGCGGCGTCGATGTCTTTCTCGACGAGGAATCCAGCCGCGAGACGCCCTCTGTCATCTCCTTCACGCAGCGCGATCGCTGCATTGGCGCATCCGGCGCGGCGTCGGCGCTGGGGAATCTCAAGAACACGGTGTGGCAGATCAAGAGGATTATCGGCAGGAAATTTCGGGATCCGGAGCTCCAGAGCGACCTCAAGCTCATGCCGTGCCTTGTCACCGAGGGAAGAGGGGGATGGCCGGCGATCCACGTCTCCTATCTCGGCGAGCACAGGATCTTCGGGGCCACGGAGCTGCTTGGGATGGTTCTAGCGCACTTGAAGTCGATCGCAGCCAAGAACATGATGGGAGTAGCTCCAGGGGAGTGCGTGATAGGAACTCCAGCTTTCATGGACGACGTCCAGAGGCGAGCTTACGTCGATGCTGCTGCGATTGCGGGTCTCCGGCCTCTCAAGCTCATCCACGAGACGACTGCCGCCGCGATATCTTATGGCCTCTATCGGACGGATCTTCTTCACGAGACTCGGGAAATCTTCGTGGCTTTTGTGGACGTCGGGCATGCGCACACCCAGGTGGCGGTCGTGGCTCTCCGGAGAGGTGTGCTGCGAGTTCTATCCTACGCGTTTGATCGGTGTCTCGGGGGCCGGGACTTTGACGAGGTGCTGTTCAGCCACTTTGCTGCGAAGTTCTCCGCCACCTACAGGATCGACGTCCTGTCCAACTCGCGGGCTTGCCAGAGATTGAGAAGAGCGTGCGAGAAGCTGAAGAAGATCCTTAGTGCCAATGCCGAGGCTCCCATCAGCATCGAGTGTCTCATGGACGAGAAGGACGTCAAAGGCTTTATTACGAGAGAAGAGTTTGAGAAGCTGTGTGCCCCGCTGCTACAGAGGATCAGGCATGCTTGTGAAAGAGCTTTAACGGATTCGGAACTGGCTGTGGACGATATCTCCGCTGTGGAAGTGATCGGTTCTGGTTCCAGAGTTCCTGCGATCGCTAGAGTTCTCGCTGCCGCTTTTAGGAGGGAGCCTAGCAGGACTTTAAATGCGAGCGAAAGCATTGCTCGCGGCTGTGCTCTCCAAGGTGCGATGTTCAGTCCAACTTTTCGAGTTAAGAAGCTCGAGGTAAAGCATTCCTTCAATTTTTTTAGTTGTGTTGATATGTTTCGCTGCTACAGGTCCATGACTATTTCCTGTTCCCTGTAGCGTTCTCGTGGGCTGGACCCGCAGCGTTTGAGTATGGTCTTGACGATCCCACGACTCCTTCAGCATCCATCGTTCCACAGATTCTTCCAAACAGCATTGTTTTTCGGCGAGGGGTGTCGTTTCCTACGTCCAAACAGCTCACTTTCTGGGTAACTAATCCGATATTCGAGATTCGAGTGTTATATGGAGATTTGACTGAACTTTCGGCAAGCGCTTCGAACCCTTTTGCAACATTTACTGTAAGAACTTGTGATACTTCAGAATGGTTTTTTATTGCGATCCGCTTCAGGTGGGACCTTTGAGCTGCAGGAAACCAGAATCTTCGCGTCTAAGGCTTTCAATTCACCTGAATCAGCATGGAATACTCATGTTGTCATCAGCCACTGTAAGTATAGCAAAAAAGTCTCGTCTTTTTTGTTTTTCGACATTCATCTGGTCATGGGATTTGTAGCTTATGGAAGATGAAGAACTGGAATCAGGCATGCAGCAGGTATCAGAGAGCGTTTTAAGAATCTCTAGGAAACGTCTCTCTGTCGTTTTCAGGGACAAAGTAGGATGAGAAGATTGAGACACACTGATGTGCCAATCGTGGAAATGACAACGAAGGAGCTGTCCTCATTGGAGCTGCAAAATGCCATCGAGAAAGAGTTTGAGATGGAATTCCAGGATCGAGTGTCCGAAGAAACGAAAGAGGCGAAGAATGCATTGGAAGCTCTAGTGTATGACATGCGAAACAAGGTATTTGCAATGACTGCTTGTGGGATTCTTACCGATTGATGCATGCAGTTTTATGGAAAATTACAAGAATATGCAAGTGAAACGGAGAAGAAAGATTTACTGAAGAAACTCCAAGATACCGAAACATGGTTGTACGAAGGAGGAGACAATGAGACTAAAACTGTCTATGCTGCAAAGCTAGCGGACCTTAAAATGGTAAAATTGCGACAATTGCCTTCAGTGCTTACTTGTAAATGCAGCTCGTGAAGTCACTCGAAGAACGGGTGGCCGAGGAGCATGCTCGTGATGCTGCAATGTCAGACATGCAAAGGCACATCGAGAATGTGCGAAATGCTGCTATTGCCAGGGGTGCTCATCTTGATCAGTTTCGTATTGAAAGGGCAAGTGATTGTTTTGTTAGTCTCAACATTTTTATTTGTTTTTCTCTTCTAGGTCTTTTCGGAATGCGATCAAGCGGAGTTATGGCTTAGGGAAGCGAAACACAGCCAGGCGATCCTGCCAAAATATGCGAAGCCGGCTGTATGGGCCTCTGACATTAAGCACAAAGCAGAACTTTTGGACAGGTGCCTTTAAAATTGTTTTGCATCTTCACTACCTGGTTTGTAATCTGTACAGATACTGTAAGTCGCTTATTGGATGAATCATCCGATCGACAACTTCACCAGTGGTCTTTACAGGAGCATTGTCCATGCTCAAAGTGATGGTAACATGTTACATCTCTTACAACTATAGCTCTGCCGACGATCCTGGAAGTGACTTTGATTGCAGCATGGCACTCGGAGCAGATCCGTAAGTTCTTGACGATTTGAAGCGGGGTGCCAGGATCAGTTGTCAACAAACCAAAAGCTAAAGCAACTCTTTCGCTGTGATAGCCGAGATGCTCCACATTTTCTTCCATCGTCTCAACATCCCTCAGCACCTCGTTCATATCAGGTACATAGCCAGCTTCTTGCATTTGCCGGTCCAGCCTTTCCAACTCGGCTTTAAGTTTATCAGTTTGTGGGTGCAGCTTGCCGGTCGTGCCAAACTCGTGCAACCTATTCTTAATCTCGATATAACTTTGTCCTGGGAGCTTCTTCCAACCTCTCTCTTGCATCGCTCGTCGAATTCTCCGGACGTCATCCCACCTCCCAACTCGGCCATAGATACTGGAGAGGAGCACAAACGCAGCGGTATTCGCCGGATCCAATTCCAGAACGCGATCGGCAACGAGCTCGGCTCTCTCCACGCGGCCGTGCATCTTGTAACAACCGAGTAGCGTCACCCAGATAACACTCGTCGGCTGGAAAGGCATCTCGTCCACCACCTCCTCGGCTTGAGTGACCCATCCAGCCCGGCCGAGAACGTCAATCAAGCGCACGAAGTGGTCGACCTCGTGGGAAATGCCGTGATCCATCGTCATTGACACGAAGTAACTCCTGGCCAGTTCCACAAGTCCGGTGTGGCTGCAAGCGTGCAAGATACTGTTAAAGGTAACTCGGTTCATTTCGCACGACTCCATGACCATCTCTTGGAATAATTGCAGGGCGTCGTTGCTATGCCCGTGCTGGGCATATCCGGCGAGCAGCGTGTTCCAGCATACGAGATCTTTCTTTTTGACTGTGTCGAATGCGATCCTGGCTTCGTGCATTCTCCCGCATCGTGAGTACATGGTGACGATCGCGGTGGCCACCACCAGGTGCTTTTCCAATCCAAGAGCGATGATCCGGCTGTGGAAGGCTATGCCCTCGGAGAGAGCTCCCAACCTCGAGCAAGCGTCCAGCACTCCAGAGTAAGCGTACATGTTTGCTTTGGTTCCGTCCAGCTCCATCTTTCGAAACATTTCCAGGGTGGTCTTTCCATCTCCGTGCTCCGAGTAGGCCGTGATGATAGCTCCCCAGGCAACGATATCTTTGCGCTCCATCACGTCGAAGGCTCTCCGAGCATCCTCAACGCTGCCACACTTCGCATACATGTCCAGCAAGCCAGTTGTGACGATGCTGCTCTTGCCGAAAGATGGTGGCGTTGCTTGTCCGCCGCTGGAAGACGCAACGATCAAGTGCGAGTGAATCGCCCGTCCCTCCTCGAGGGCGTCAGTTCCGAGCGCTCCACAGGCACCCAGGGCGATGGAGAAGATGAAGTCGTCGGGCTCCACTCTATCGTCCTTCATCTCCTGATAGGCATCGAGAGCGTCCCGGAAGAGCCCGTTCTGGAAGTAGGCGAGGATGAGGATTGTCCAAGAGAAGACGTTCCTGGTGACTATCCGGTCGAAGGCACTTCGCGCTTGATCCAGCTCGCCGCATTTACCATACATCTGGACGAGCAAATTCCCGAGAAACGTATCGCCGTCGTAGCCGCGGGACTTGAGGAGGAAGTGGAGCCTCTTGCCTTCCCATAGGTTCTGGCTGCTCCCGCATCTTCGCAACGCCTCGGCGTAGCATTTGGTGGTGTCGCTGCTGCAGCGCAAACTTGGACTAGAACCCACTACTGCTACATCGCTGGTGAGCCGCGGAGAAGAGCTGGACCTCCAGACAGCGTCCATTCATTCCATCACAAACCTCTCTGCAAGCATTAGGTAAGGTTATTTTGTGATTTATAGATTCTTTCTTTCTCTTGACACGATCGGAGACTTACATTTTGAAAGGAGTCCAGAGGAAAAACTGCAAGCTCTCAGCCAGGCAAGAAACCTTTCAAACTTTCATTTAAGAGAAACGCTTTGAAAGAGCTAACTTCGCAATACAGTTGCCAACGATGAATAGAGCTTATCTCGCAAGCTCTCTCAGCCTGTTCTCGTCGCGACCATGGCCACAACGAAGGGTTCGTGGACAGCTGGTAGAGGCAACGCTTGCAGTAATCGGCGGCCAACTTGGGCTTAGTCATACAGGACGAGATGAGCGATGTGCATGGTGGTGGTGATAAGAACTCCAAACTCGATCACGGCAGGAGGTCGCTCGTCTTGGAGGCTGGATCGAACTTCAGATCCATCTTTCCTCGTAAGAGTTGCCAGTTCTCTGTCTGCGCAGAGACTGAAACAAGTAAAGTTGAACGCAAGTACAACCATTATAAGTTAAGCTTGGCTCGGTGACAATATGCGGTTCACTTGTTGGTGAGTCAGATCAAAGCAAGCTCACACTTTTTCCTTTTTGTATTTGCTTGGAGATGTTTGAGGAGTACCATGTACACCTCGGCTCTTTTGGCAAACCGTTATTGAGGGAGGCTATGTCGCTGATGGCAATGGCGACGCGGAGTACGATTCGATTCAAACAACAACAGTAGCCTCCCAAATTCTGTTGATCCTGTGCATTGACGTTCAAACGGATGAAATGGCTTTTTCTCCAGTCAAGGCAGATCAGTTAGCACATAAAAAATATTTCGAGTATCTTTTAAGCAAGAAAGTTTAAATATATTTCATTCTTCTACATATTTCTTGCAGAAAAAACAAGGAATTCATCCCACAAAACAAACAAGTTTGTTAATTTTACAACACTTGTATGATTTTCTTTATGAATTCCTTGGCTAAGAGCATATACGTGTGTTCAGTTGGGTGTATTATATCCCAAAAGACGTAATCGCTTGGATTCTTGCACAGCCCACTAAATGTGTTCTTTTGTGAAAGGCAGTTGGGGCAACAACCGCCGGCATGCTTAAATCCAAACCTCTTTGGGTTCTCCACGTATGATTTGATCAAAGAGTAGCCATCCACAAATGTTCCTTTCATCCCTGGAAATCTCTTTGCCACCCCTAAAACAATCCCCTGAGCTTGCACATTGAATTCTTCCACCAGATTGTTAATCTCGCTCACACATTTTCCTCCAGAGGTCACAATAGGTGAACACCCTAGTGCCCCGACACTTGAGTAGACGATCTTTCGAAATCCATACTTGTATAGCTGTTCCAATCCTTTCTCTAATGACATTAACATTGCTTTCAAGTCAACATTAGCGATGTCTTGAAGATTTGCTGCAATATCGTTCCCACCAGAAGATATCACAACCACAAATTCATTGAGATTGAGATTCTTCTTGGAGAGCTGCGTGAGCTGCTTTAGCTGCTCGTTAAACGACACAACGCCCCAGTCCGAGTGAGTCGAGTCAAGTAAACCACTGCCGTCTGAAGCAAAGTTGATGCTTAGTGGAAGTTGCCTCCCAGCTTTCAAGCCCAGGAATGGTCTTGAAAAGGGCAAACCTATCGCCTTGTTTATCAGATCTGGAATTATAAACCCATCGCTACACCTCCCGGATGGCTTGCTAAACCTCGTCTCCCCATATGGCACAAAATCACAGCGCGAAACTGAATTCTTCACGTATTTGTTTGTGCCCACGTCGAAGATTGAATCTCCCATGTAGATAGTCCTGAGTTGAGGAATCGACCTCCCATACACGCACACGCAGAGAGCCAAGATCGCAACCACGAACACTAAGATCCTCGACCTCATCTCGCCAAAACCTTAATATGGCAAAACCTAATGCACAAGCTAATTTATATAGAGTTAGGGAAAAGGAAAAGGTTACTTCATCTAATAAAAGCACCTTTAAATACTTGAATGAAAACTAAAATTTAGCAAGCATTGTCTACACGATATCAGACAATAATTAACTGAAGCAAGATGGAAGCATTACACCACAAGCTCATCAAAGTTGAGGACCCCTCCCACTTCACCAGACACAGAGTGATAGCCATCCGGTGGAGCAACCAACTCGGCCGGTCCCCGGTCACCTTGAAAACCATCCCGGCCAGAACCTTACACACGAGCAGTAGGCCTTGACATAGTAGTTTGCCTTGCTGCTGGTTGCCGTCGGCCCAAACCGGAGGAATCCATCCACCTCTGCTTTCTTCTTCTTGAATCCGGCGAGGATGATGTTGCAAAGGCTGCACGAGAGATTGCTGCACAGTGACTGCTGCTGCGGCGTCCCGAGCCTGCACAAGACCGTCGTGCCGTGGTAGCGCAGGACCTCGTTTCCATTCTTTCCAATCTTCTCGCCCCTGCTGCCTCTTTGGGCCATCAGCTTTTCTCTGTAGTCCGCGAAACGCTTCACCCTGTGACCGGATTGTACACGCGGAGGAGGACTCTTCGCTGCCTGGATATTTGGCACGGAAGTATGCCAAGACTCTTCCTCGTTCCGGGTCGTCCCTGCGCATGCTCTCCACTGAAAAAACAAGGGTAAATAACGAGAGAGCTTCTGGAAACTGGCCAGAGGAGTGATTACCTGCGTGCTTTAGCAGGAAGTGCTGGTCCAGGTACTGCGGGGAGTCGAACTTCGCGCCGCACACGAAGCATGAGAAGTACTTTCCCCCGTCCCATGGGCCGGACACCTTCATATGCGCTGCTGACGACCGCTGGTGCTGATGGAGCTGCTGGTGATCCCGGAACTTCGCTCCACAGTCACTGCAGGCCAGGACTTTCGGAGTAGGAGTTGGGGTCGAGGGAGCCTTGGTTGAGCCAGAACTTTGGCCGTGACTATCTCTGAAATGTTGTAGCATGTTGCTCGTAAACGACCTCAAACAACCAGGAGCTTTGCAGGGCTGAAAGAATGAGAAGGATCGAACTTTTACTGAAAGAGAAACGTCCTTACCTTCCGTGCTTTTTGGAGCGTTCCTCGTTCTTGCAATATAGACGTTTTTCGTACGCTGGATGTACTGTTGAGAGGATAGCATGATGTAACAAGTGATTATGCCTACGTGGCATATTGCTCGCAGTTGCATCTATAGTCTTCAGTGTCCGTCGTTCCTAATGTTTTCTGTCCTTGATAAGTTTGCTGGTTGAACTGGTGTTTCCAAGAGTCCTCTGCGTGTTTTATTGTTCCAATAACATAGAAGTTTAGAGCTGCGCCCACTGGAAGATGAACAGGAAGCGATGCTCTGTGGCTCTTCTTTCTCTTCAAGAGAACTAGCCGTCCGTAAAGTTCACATTTTAAAACTTCAAAATTGGTAATAAAACGGAAAGTACAAACCCTAAAACTACGAAGCGCTAAGAGCCCGTTCTAGAAGTAGAGGATTGTCTAAGAGAAGACGTTCCTGGTGACTATCCGGTCGAAGGCACTTCGCGCTTGATCCAGCTCGCCGCATTTACCATACATCTGGACGAGCAAATTCCCGAGAAACGTATCGCCGTCGTAGCCGCGGGACTTGAGGAGGAAGTGGAGCCTCTTGCCTTCCCAGAGGTTCTGGCTGCTCCCGCATCTTCGCAACGCCTCGGCGTAGCATTTGGTGGTGTCGCTGCTGCAGCGCAAACTTGGACTAGAACCCACTACTGCTACATCGCTGGTGAGCCGCGGACAAGAGCTGGACCTCCAGACAGCGTCCATTCATTCCATCACAAACCTCTCTGCAAGCATTAGGTAAGGTTATTTTGTGATTTATAGATTCTTTCTTTCTCTTGACACGATCGGAGACTTACATTTTGAAAGGAGTCCAGAGGAAAAACTGCAAGCTCTCAGCCAGGCAAGAAACCTTTCAAACTTTCATTTAAGAGAAACGCTTTGAAAGAGCTAACTTCGCAATTCTAGCGAATCTCACGACGAATACAGTTGCCAGCGATGAATAGAGTTTATCTCGCTAGCTCTCTCAGCCTGCTCTCGTCGCGACCATAGCCACAACGGGTTTTTTTGTTCTTCATCTACACAATCCAGCGTTCTCATCAGCTTGGCAGTCATGAAGAACTGTAGCGAGTTTGAGAAGCTGATGAGAACGCTGGATTGTGTAGATGAAGAACAAAAAAAGAGTGTTAAAGTTTCGAAAACAAAAAGTAACATATAATAAACGTGATAATGTCATTATCCGTTAGGCTTTTGTTTAAACCAACAGGCCCAAAACCTAAGAAAATCGGGGGGAGGGTTCTCACTGAACTATACAGTTTCTTGATCAAAACATCTTCTACAAATCAGATTACCAGGTAAAACGGAAGGGTAACTCTTTCAGCAAGTCCTCTGTTTCTTCTGCATACGGACAATCTCCAGCTGCGGAAGTGTCTTCTTTGGAAGAGAAATGATCACCTGTTGGTTGTCATACTCCCAAAAGGACTGCTTAGTATCGACGGACGAGAATTCAAACACAATGCTGAGGCAGCACTCGTCCTCCACAGGCTCCTCGTTGCTGTAAATCTTCACCATGTCCAAACACGTCTTTTGCAGGTCACCTTTCACAGGGCCAGATACAATGTCGATTCTCCCTGCAGCAACCACAATATCAGTCAGCATGCATCGTCAAGAGGCCACACACCACACTAACCTGCAAATCTCGGTAGTTTGAGACGGATGACATACTTGTCTTCCGACTCCTTGATGCTGCACAGTTCCCCTTTTGTGGCCTTCAGCTCAGATTCGTACAGCACCAGGTTCCGCTCAAAGACTCTCGCCTTGAAGACGTTCCGCTGCTCTTTACGGATTTCTATGAGTCTTTGCTGGTATATGTCTTCAACCATTTCCGGCGTCCACGCAAGGAATTCATTGCCGACGTGTATCCTCATGAAGCCCTGAACGAAGTTGTAAGCGTCCTCAAGGTCTGTTGCGAGATTGCCAGTAACCAGTTTCTTCCTCTGAAAATGCGGTGATGAGAACGAGCTGTAAGAATTGAGATCAGCTTACCATATCGGGTTTTACGTAGTAAACCCCGACCAGAAACTTGGAGTTCCTTCGAGTGAGCGTTGTGCCGGTTTTCCTTTCATATTGTACCTTGCGCGTATCATATTGTGCTTGCAGTTCCTCCAGAGTACCTGGCACCAGCTTATACGATTCCTCTGGGAAGGAGGTCTTCAACCAGTCTCTCGTACTGGAAACATGCTTCTTGTACGCCCTGAAAGGAAGAATATGAGAAATATGTTTAGTGCTGTCGTCTCACTTACGCGTAGCTTTCTGGAGTGATCTTGCCGTCGCAGACTGTCACGATCCAAAAATGTCCAAAATCCCATAGTTGTACACATCGTTGGCCCAAACAAAGGTATACAGTCGATCAACTGGGTGAAATTCCTCGAGCTCCCTCAAAAGCTCGTTACAGCCAGATGAGCCCGACTGAAATGTGTCCTCGTCTTTCAAACTGGGCCAACATTCGTTAGTGCCTGCTACGAGGGGAAAACGGATTTAATTTACCTCCATTTAGCTCCAGTGACGGAAACCGGCAGCCAGAACTCGGGGTTCACGTAAGGGTAATGCTTCTTCATCCACTGGATTAATTCAACGTTTTTCACTTTGCTCTTGAAGTCGCAACGCCACCGCTGTAGCAGAACGAAGCACGTAAGTTATAGGCAGGCAGATCATTTCATAAGGCTACTCTTACCTTGGGTTCGTCCTTGTCCTCGACCTCGTGGTATTCCCGCATGTCCGTCTTTACCTCGAGAACAGCGTTTCCGTCGTCGTCGCGAATTATCTCACCATTCTCGTCGCGTTGCACGGCATAGCATGTGACTCCTTCCACTTCTGCAATCATATCTCGATCACGGGGAATCACGTACCGAAAGCCGGGAAACAGCGAGCCCATGTGAATTCTGTCTTGGGATTCAGTAGCTGCCTCAGAAAAGCAGCGCTTCGTCTCAGCTGGTCCCCGACTGATCTTGTCAAGAATGGAATCAAGTGTCGCCTGCCTCAAGCCCACATAAGTCTGATCCATCTTGTCGTCTGATGGAAAGTTGCCGGAACAAGATACTAGCGGATGCTGGAACATGAAGGAGGCTGCAGTTGCTTCGGATGGCGGACAGTTCAAGAGAGACCTTTCCCTGCTAGAACCCGGGCTAGCCGGGGTAACAAGAGTAGCAGGACGCGCGACCGAGGAAGCCAATGGGGTACCCGGGGTAGCATGAGGCACTGATGGAATGGAAGCCGACGCTGTGGAAGCCGATGGAACCAAATCTACATCCATAGCTACTGGACCTGCTAGAGCAGCCTTAAGTGATAAGCCTTGATGCAGCCCTTGATGTATTTTCCGTTGAGACTCGGATGCTACTCCTCTGGGAGGCTCTCCGCCAGTCAGCCTAATACGCTTGTTAGTCCAACTGTGTTGGACATCAAAAAATCCCTTATCCTAACACTCCCGAAGCAAATCCCTCTTCATCGGCGCTTACCCTAATCCTTCTGAGAGAATAAAATATGCCACAAAAGAAATATTCTCTTGGCGCCCTAAATTTGAACTAATTTTTTAGGGACGCATTATGAAAAACCAGTTAAGATTTTCTTATCCTTGGCTTGGAAGTTGTAGTGACTCTCTTTTTTGATAAATTCAAGAGGAAGAACCTCAGACCAAGCTTCCTTCAAAGAACGAAGGTGCATCATCTACTCTTCCGTCAAAGAAAGAAAAGAAATACTTCCCTCCTCTCTTTCTCTCTTTCTCTCTGTCTGTCGTTTTAAGCTTGTGGCATTTTTAGATCATTCATCTTGTCTGGCGCAGCCACCCTGTGAGGAGATCAGAAGATAATTGATGTGAGACTCTCGCCTCAAGGCATTCAACAGGTAAGAGTATGATCCTCCAGTTTTTTATTCTCCATTTTGTTGATATAAAACTGTCAAGCAGGACGTTTTAATTGGAATAATCAAAAAGAGTTCTAAAGCTTACTTGTGTGGTTCAGATTCTAGTTTCTCATCTGACAAGATCTTTACACTGGTTCAAGGTGATATACAAAGTTTTGCATTCTCCCATATTTGCATTCAGGACGAAAGATGTAGTTTGCATATGGAAGTCAGCAGCTTACACACTGAACACGTAGCTGGGGCTGGTAATACTGGCCGTGATCCACAGGTAAAACTTTAAAAAAAAAAACAAAAACTTCTCTTTCACTTTAATATGTTGCTAGAAAACTCACTCTACTTACAGGTGCTTTCTCTCGATTTTCCCTGGCTATCATTCGAGAAGCTAGATCCAGTCTGGTGGTTCTCGCCGCAGGAGGCTCCTAACATCGAGGCATTCCGGACCTGGGAACTTCCTTCCGCCATTCTGTCATCTAATTTGATGTACTCTTCATGAACTCAGTGAACCTTCGCAAACGGGTCACTTCTTTCTGTCGCCATCTTCTTTCACGGCCAGAAGAAGAAATTACATTCTACTTTCTTCGTGGTGCATATTCTTTGGATGTTCTTCCGTTTCTGTAACTCTTTCCGCTGTGGTTCGCTCCAGGTACTTACCGGTGATAAAGCTTTGCAAGCTTGCAATCTAAGTACTGAGTGAATTTGCAACGTTGTGTTTTCTCTAACCTTTGGAAATTTTACAGGACGTGGTTCCTGTCCCCAAAGGTTTTCCAAAAGTCATCCCGAAGTTCATGCGGATGAGATGTTTCCAATCGTGAATGAAGTGGAGTCATGACATTTGGCCTTTGACGTGTCTCAGATAGACTTCTATGATCAACTCCATAACTGCCAATCGTGTAAGATCTTGGTAATGTACAAATTGCTCTCAAACTCTCTTCTTCAGATCTCTTGTTTTGCCAAGCGTTGAAAACTCTCTTTCCTAGGTTTTGCATGCTTGGAGCGAGATGAACATACAGACAGCTACAATCTTTTCAGCACTGGTTGCCTTCCCTCCAGTGAGTCTTGCAGGGAAGGCAGCCTTGAAATCCATCAAGAACTTCATCACAGATGTTCTAGAACTGGAGAGCATTGCGGTTCAAGCAGCATCTGGGGATGCCGAATTCAATCATGACACGAGCAGCATTGGATATAAATAGAGAGAAAAAACCGACTTACTCTGGTATCCTTTACGATCTTTCACAGGTGTGACTGCTCCCAAAGTTCTCCAGTTGATGGATTTGGGAGGGTCAGAGCCGACGTTGCCAAACATTCTGATGCCTGCATCACCATCCATCTAGATTACTATCACTGGCGGCATTGGCATTTGCAGCAAACGAAAGCGAGACCAAGAGACGAGGACACATCCTTAGAGAGTTGCTTATCTCGTTAAAACGAAGGGTTATTACAGCAGTTGCAGCACGAGACTCATGCGGGCGCACTACTGTCGATCTTACGGACGTATTCAAAGAGACATTGCTAGGACAAAAAAACGTGCACTGAATGAGACTGAAGAAGAAATCTCTTTGCAAGTTGGCAAAGGATATACAATGCAAATGAGGATCCTTGACTCAAGACAAAATGGCATCGCAAAAACAAACAGGAGAGAGAGAGAGAGAGAGAGAGAATTTAAACTCTACCTCTGAAGTGTTTGTACGGCTCCTCGAATCCAATTCAAGCCAGACTTTCAGTTTAGCTTGAACTCCGCATCTCTGGAATACCATTCATCAGCACTCGTGTACTTGCAATCTTGCAAAAGCTCGCCCGTCGTCAGCATTTGATAAAGAAGACATCGAAACCTTATGCGAAAGCGCTGAGATTTCAACCCAGCCGTTCGAACCATGGTCGAATGTGTGATCACCTCCACCTGCATCTGGATCAAACACACCGAGTACGAACCAAAAACAAAAAAAACAAACAAAAAAAAAACTCTCAGGTACGGATCTAGGGTGTACCCTTCCCGCAGAGGCAAAGGCACACCAATAGAACCTATGAAAAACTCGGGCTGAATCAAAGAAGACCGCGGGTGAAAAACGTCCTCCACAATCGCATAGCCAATGGGCAGACCTCACTTCGGTAGAGCACCGTTATCTCGAGATCCGCATGGTAGAAATCCACGTTCTTGTTTGGATTGGTGATGTTGAGGATGCAAAACATGACGAACCTCAACGTGTAAGCGTAGTCGTTTCCTCTTCCTTTTAGCTGCTGCTGCTCCAATGGATCCACTGGGATCACCTGTCCATACATCATCTCCATGAACAGGACGGCCGGGCGAGGATGGTGGTAGGGAAATCCAAGAGGACCAAGTAGTAAACGAGCCCAGCAGCCACGGAGAGGATTCCAATGACCAGCAGCAATCGAAAGAGCTCGGTTCCAGATTCCTGCTGCTGCTGCTGGAGTTGCTGCTGTAGTGGGTCTTGTGTGTCCGATCCGATAGTCACAGCCAATGTTCTGGCTCAACCAAGGCTCCCTCGGCCCCAGCTCCTACTCCGAAAGTTCTGGCCTGCAGTGACTGTGGAGCGAATTTCTGGGATCACCATCAACACCAGTGCTCGTCAGCAACGCATATGAAGGGTGACGCCCACGGGACGGGGGAAAGCACTTCTCACGCTTCGTGTGCCGCGCGAAGTTCGACTCCCGCAGTACCTGGACCAGAACTTCCTGGTAAAGCACGCAGGTAACCACTCCTCTGGCCAGTTTCCAAGAGCTCTCTCGTTATTTACCCGTGTTTTTTCAGTGGAGAGCACGCGCAACGACGACCCGGAACGAGGAAGAGTCATCGCACACTTCCATGCGAAATGGAACCATCCAGGCAGCGAAGCGTCCGTCATTGACATCCTCCGCGTGTACAATCGGTGAAGCGGTTCGTGGACTACAGAGAAAAGCTGATGGCCCAGAGAGGCAGCAAGGACGAGAAGATTGGAAAGAATGGAAACGGGGTCCTGCGCTTCCATGGCACAACGGTTTTGTGCGGGCTCGGGACGCTGCAGCAGCAGTCACTGTGCAGCAATCTCTCGTGCAGCCTCTGCAACATCATCCTGATTCAAGAAGAAGAAAGCAAAGGTTGATGGATTCCTCCGGTTTGGGGCGGCGATCTATGTGACGGCAGCCAGCAGCAAGGCAAACTACTATGTCAAGGCCTACGGCAGCTCCTCGGGTTCCAGACACCATGCCATGCTCGTGTGTAATGTTCTGGCCGGGCAATTGTTCAAGGTGACCGAGGACAGGCCGAGTTGGTTGCTCCACCAGATGGCTATCACTCCGTGTCTGGTGAAGTGGGAGGGATCCTCAACTTTGATGAGCTTGTGGTGTAATGCTGCCATCTTGCCTCAGTTTATTATTGTCTGATGGCTAAAATTTTAGTTTTAATTCAAGTATTTAAAGGTACTTTTATTAGATGAAGTAACCTTTTCCTTTTCCCTAACTCTATATAAATTAGCTTGTGCATTAGGTTTTGCCATATTAAGGTTTTGGCGAGATGACGAAGTGGTCGAGGATCTTAGTGTTCGTGGTTGCGATCTTGGCTCTTTGCGTGTGCGTGTATGGGAGCGATTCCTCAACTCAGAACTATCTACATGGGAGATTCAATCTTCGACGTGGGCACAAACAAATATGTGAAGAATTCAGTTTCGCGTTGTGATTTTGTGCCATATGGGGAGACGAGGTTTAGCAAGCCATCCGGGAGGTGTAGCGATGGGTTTATAATTCCAGATCTGATAAACGAGGCGATAGGTTTGCCCTTTTCAAGACCATTCCTGGGCTTGAAAGCTGGGAGTCAACTTCCACCAAGCATTAATTTTGCGTCAGACGGCAGTGGCTTACTCGACTCTACTCACTCGGACTGGGGCGTTGTGTCGTTTAACGAGCAGCTAAAGCAGCTCGCGCAGCTCTCCAAGAAAAATCTCAATCTCAATGATTTTGTGGTTGTGATATCTTCTGCTGGGAATGATATTGCGGCGAATCTTCAAAACATTGCTGATGTTGACTTGAAAGCAATGTTAATGTCATTAGAGAAAGGATTGGAACAGCTATACAAGTATGGATTTCGAAAGATCGTCTACTCAAGTGTTGGGGCACTAGGATGTTCACCTATTGTGACCTCTGGAGGAAAATGTGTGAGCGAGATTAACAATCTGGTGGAAGAATTCAATGTGCAAGCTCGGGAGATTGTTTTAGGGGTGGCAAAGAGATTTCCAGGGATGAAAGGAACATTTGTGGATGGCTACTCTTTGATCAAATCATACGTGGAGAACCCAAAGAGGTTTGGATTTAAGAATTCCGGGGGTTGTTGTCCCAATTGCCTTTCACAAAAGAATACATTGAGTGGGCTGTGCAAGAATCCAAGCGATTACGTCTTTTGGGATATAATACACCCAACTGAACACACGTATATGCTCTTAGCCAAGGAATTCATAAAGAAAATCATAGAAGTGTTGTAAAATTAACAAATTTATTTGGGGATGAATTCCTTGTTTTTTCCGCAAGAAATATGTAGAAGAATGAAATATATTTAAACTTTCTTGCTTAAAAGATACTCGAAATATTTTTTATGTGCTAACTGATCTGCCTTGACTGGAGAAAAAGCCATTTCATCCGTTTGAACGTCAATGCACGGGATCAACAGATTTTGGGAGGCTACTGTTGTTGTTTGAATCGAATCGTACTCCGCGTCGCCATTGCCATCAGCGACATAGCCTCTCAATAACGGTTTGCCAAAAGAGCCGAGGTGTACATGGTACTCCTCAAACATCTCCAAGCAAATACAAAAAGGAAAAAGTGTGAGCTTGCTTTGATCTGACTCACCAACAAGTGAACCACATATGATCACCGAGTCAAGCTTAACTTATAATGGTTGTACTTGCCTTCAACTTTACTTGTTTCAGTCTCTGCGCAGACAGAGAACTGGCAACTCTGAAGTTCGATCCAGCCTCCAAGACGAGCGACCTCCTGCCGTGATTGAGTTTGGACTTCTTATCACCACCACCACGCACATCGGTCATCTCGTCCTGTATGACTAAGCCCAAGTTGGCCGCCGATTACTGCAAGTAAGCGTTGCCTCTACCCGCTGTCCACGAACCCTTCGTTGTGGCCATGGTCGCGACGAGAGCAGGCTGAGAGAGCTAGCGAGATAAACTCTATTCATCGTTGGCAACTGTATTCGTCGTGAGATTCGCTAGAATTGCGAAGTTAGCTCTTTCAAAGCGTTTCTCTTAAATGAAAGTTTGAAAGGTTTCTTGCCTGGCTGAGAGCTTGCAGTTTTTCCTCTGGACTCCTTACTTTCAAAATATAAGTCTCCAAAGAGAAAGAATCTATAAATCACAAAATAACCTTACCTAATGCTTGTGGAGAGCTTTGTGATGGAATGAATGGACGCTGTCTGGAGTTCCAGCTCTTCTCCGCGGCTCACCAGCGATGTAGCAGTAGTGGGTTCTAGTCCAAGTTTGCGCTGCAGCAGCGACACCACCAAATGCTACGCCGAGGCGTTGCGAAGATGCGGGAGCAGCCAGAACCTCTGGGAAGGCAAGAGGCTCCACTTCCTCCTCAAGTCCCGCGGCTATGACGGCGATACGTTTCTACGTTTCTCGGGAATTTGCTCGTCCAGATGTATGGTAAACGCGGCGAGCTGGATCAAGCGCGAAGTGCCTTCGACCGGATAGTCACCAGGAACGTCTTCTCTTGGACAATCCTCATCCTCGCCTACTTGTAGACGTCATCGCTTCATAGTTTTAGGGTTTATACTTTACCTTTTATTACTAATTTTGAAGTTTTAAAATGTGAACTTTCATCTAATTTCAAGCTACTGACGGCTAGTTCTCTTGAAGAGCAAGAAGAGCCACAGAGCATCGCTTCCTGTTCATCTTCCAGTGGGAGCAGCTCTAAACTTCTATGTTGTTGGAACGATAAAACACGCAGAGGACTCTTGAAAACACCAGTTCAACCAGCAAACTTATCAAGTACATGAAAACATTAGGAACGACGGACACTGAAGACTATAGATGCAACTGCGAGCAATCTCAACAGTACATCCAGCGTACGAAAAACGTTTATATTGCAAGAATGAGGAACGCTCCAAAAAGCGTGGAAGGTAAGGACGTTTCTCTTTCAGTAAAAGTTTGATCCTTCTCATTCTTTCAGCCAGGCAAAGCTCCTGGTTGTTTGAGGTCGTTTACGAGCAGGGAGTACATGCTACAACCCTTCAGAGCATCTCGGAGACTTCCTTCAATAGCATCTCGGGAGCTTCAGTGAGTGCCAATACGGCAGCTCCGCGCTCGATCGTCTACCTTGAACAGTTCAACAATTGCTTCGCCAACGAGCGGGCAGCGACCTTAGAGAGCATCTGATGACGGCCAGCTGATGTATTTGCCACTTGTGGAAGACAGCATGGGCAGATTGAATTCAGACTCATCGGTCTACAAGGCTCTGGAGAGGGGCAAAAACAGCCTTGAAAAGCAGAGATCCATGCCAGTCAATACCAGCAATGTTTTGAAGATTTACCGCAATATCATTCCCAGCAGAAGATATCACAACCACAAAATCATTGAGATTGAGATTTTTCTTGGAGAGCTGCGCGAGCTGCTTTAGCTGCTCGTTAAACGACACAACGCCCCAGTCCGAGTGACTGGAGTCAAGTAAGCCACTGCCATCTGACGCAAAATTAATGCTTGGTGGAAGTTGACTCCCAGCTTTCAAGCCCAGGAATGGTCTTGAAAAGGGCAAACCTATCGCCTCGTTTATCAGATCTGGAATTATAAACCCATCGCTTCACCTCCCGGATGGCTTGCTAAACCTCGTCACCCCATATGGCACAAAATCACAACGCGAAACTGAATCCTTCACATATTTGTTTGTGCCCACGTCGAAGATTGAATCTCCCATGTAGATAGTCCTGAGTTGAGGAATCGACCTCCCATACACGCACACGCAAAGAGCCAAGATCGCAACCACGAACACTAAGATCCTCGACCACTTCATCAAAACCTTAATATGGCAAAACCTAATGCACAAGCTAATTTATATAGAGTTAGGGAAAAGGAAAAGGTTACTTCATCTAATAAAAGTACCTTTAAATACTTGAATGAAACTAAAGTTTTAGCAAGCATTGTCTACACGGTATCATAGACGATAATAAACTGAGGCACAAGCTCATCAAAGTTGAGGATCCCTCCCACTTTGCCGAGACTTGGGAGAAGGCAGTGGAGATGTGATGCACAGCTTGGGCGTAGAGATCAAACGGGCCGATCATCAGAAGCAGCAGAAGAAAAGGCCTCTGCAACATCATCCTGGCCGCATTCAAGAAGAAGAAAGCAAAGGTGGATGGATTCCTCCGGTTTGGGCCGGGGATCTATGTGACAGCAACCAGCAGCAAGGCAAACTACTATGTCAAGGCATCCTCGGGTTCCAGGCACCATGCCATGCTCGTTTGTAAGGTTCTGGCCGGGATGGTGTTCAAGCTGACCGAGGACAGGCCGAGTTATGGCTATCACTCCGTGTCTTGTGAGATTGGCTATGGTCTGTTGTTTGTTGTTTTTCGTCTTTCGTCCCTGTCCCTGACTATTCTCTGATGTAGCCGATGAGAATGAACACGAGAGCAATCCCACCGGCCGTGTCAATCTCAAGGAAGTCCTCTGGATCGACCAGATAGTGGGAAATGTTCTTCGCAAGGTGAGCCTTTCGTTTCTTTGTCCTGGTCACGAAGAAGTTTGCGAAAGAACTTTCTCATATTTGAGACTGATGATGTGTTTCAGCTTAAAATGGCTTTGGAGTATCTTCAACCAGCTTTTGGAAGTGTCATAGTGGATGTGAGTTGCAGGTCCCCTAGGTAATTGACCGAGAGATGGCCATTGGTTGTTAGAACACGAACTTCTTGTAAGCTTCTGCGCTATATGTGCTTTCACTAGCAACCTTCTGGTGGTTCAAACAGGTTGGAAGATATAAGTACTTGTGATTGATAACGAGCTATGCACTTACATCCTATAACGAACCCAGAGAGAAAAGGCAACTACAAGAATTATATTGAGGTATGCTATGATTCTCTGATCATCCAAACTAAATTGTGTATTTTTTCCAGGTGCTTTGACGGGGACGAGTATGACATTTACCTTGGGAGGACAAGTACTATTAGACTTCTAAAAATCAAGAGGAGTTTATCAAGCAGCTGCTTTATTGTTTGAGGCTCCTGTTCGCAACACTTCCAGTAAATACTTTTGTATATTTTTTTCTTGCATGTTCACTCTTAACTCATCTATTCAAGTTTTATGTAATCCGTGAATATGCATGACTTAGCATGACTTTTCTCAATGGAAGTTTCTCTTACGCTAGCTCTCACTGTAAGTATCACTGTTAAGTTTTCTCTTGAGTTATCCAAGCTCTTTATACTTGGGTGTTTGTATTTTCAGTGCTCCCTGGCCACGATGGAGAGAGGGATTTGGAAGCGAGCAGGCAGGCAAGATCCACTTACATTGTCCAAAGGAGGTGAAGCCATTCAAGAGGCTTCAAGCTTTGAGATTTTTTTCCATTTATTCTTTTGCTAAGTAAATTGAATTTTGCACGACTTCGCATAAGTCGAATTTTAACTTTCATTTTTGCTAAAAAAAGCCCCCCATGGACTTTCGGAGTTATTATGCCTACGTGGCATATTGTTCGTTCCTAATGTTTTCATGTTCTTGATAAGTTTGCTGGTTGAACGAGTCCTCTGGCACATTTTATTGTTCCAACAACATAGAAGTTTAAAGCTGCTCCCACTGAAGAAGCGGTGCTTTGGGTCTGTGTCCATGCTCTTCCAGGGAACTAGCCGTCAGTAGCTTGAAATTAGAAGTTCATTGCCGTTGCTCATTGGAAGTCCACATTTTAAAGCTTCAAAAGTTATTGTAACCTTGTTAATGTTATAGACTTTGGTAATAGACGCCACCCTAAACCTAGGAAGCGATGGCGGGTAGCAGCAGCAGCTCACAAGGTAAGAGACTGTTGTGTACTTTGGGACTGATTGAGGCTGAGGCCATTTCCAGGCACACCTCTTTCGGAAGCATCGTCTGTGGCGGAGTTGAGACAGTTCATCCGCCTGACTTGCTCCTCCTTAGTTTCCGACGTTGTGCTGGAGACGCTCACGGCTGCTGCGGTGACCACAATGGTGCGAAAGAAAGCCATCCATGGCTTTAGAACGTGCTGCTTCCTGGGCAAGGAAGGCCATGGACGGCTCTACGATCTGGTCAAGCAGCTCGCGCCCCCACCCCCTACCGCTGGAAAGGTTACTACACACTAGCTCTTTCCATGTCTTTACTTTTGTTATCTTGTTCCCCAGAAGCAGCTCCATGCCAATCCATTCGCGGACTTCAAAGCCAAAGATCGTTGCTTACAGCTGCCCAAGGATCTCGATTTTCTGCTGGAGGACTATGACGAGGAACGAGTGAACTGTACGCTCGACTTCGATCTTGGGCTCACCGACGAAGAAGCTAACCAAGTGACACTAGCTCTGTCAAAGAATCACTTCCCCGCGTGGCTCATGGAACCATGCACATTCCTCACATTTGAGGAGAACTTGGATATAAGGGTTCAAGTAGTCCGGCTCTGGATAAGTGCGTCCAAGCTACCACTCTATGTTGGATGCACCACAACTTGTAAGTTCTGGACTGCGTCTTTGGATGATCTAGCTAAAGAATGTTTCAGTTGAAGAGCTCAGGCAAATGGCAGTGCCGCCGACGGAACCGGCTGACTTCGCTTTAGAAGAGAACCTCCCATCGACGTTCCAGATCAGAATGAGGGAGACGACGCTGATAGGCATGCACTGGTATTTTGGATCTCGAAAAAGCTTTCAATCGTTTCGAAATTTGATTGATTGCAGGTCCAAAACCATGGGCTGGTCTCTGCAGCATCCGGCGCCTAACGACTTGCCCGAGACTTGCCCGGCCTTCTTCAAGTGTTACGCGAAGGTGCGTTACCCCATCACGAAAGCCGAGGGAGGCTACCCGTCCCACGGTCGGATCACCGGTGATTGCGAGGTTGACAAGATTGAGTTCGAGGAGAGCATGGAAGACGATTTACGTGATCTCAAGTGCAGGGAAACGCCGCGGATGTACAGGCGGCTCGCCGCATTGATCTACTCCAGGGATGTTTGAGATGCATCTTCCGGGATCTCTTTTCTTTCTTTCTTTTGCTCGGTAAGATAAGAACACGCACTTTGCTAGTCGGAAAGAAGGCTTTGTTTCTTTGAGCGCATTTCTTTGAGCGCATTGAGCTTTGGGTGTGCCAAAAATCCCGCCACAAAAGAGAGCGAACCAATCCATGTAAGTGAACTATTGACATTCGCCCTCAAATCCCATTTCCATGAAACACGAGACTGTTCTATACATTCGCTAGGACAAACAAGTTTACCTCGCTATTGCTGCGTACAAGACCACTATCGAAGCCTATAATACAAGTCGCAGTCCTCGACACTCTCCCCGCAGAGAATCTTTTCCAAACATCCCAGCATTTCCTGTCAAACGCCAGGCTTGCTCTCGCTCGTCTCGGGTGATGAGTATAGCTGCGCGATGCGAGCTCCGATCGCAGCTCGGGCAAAGTCGTGGCAGTAGACGATGACGCGGCGCAGGCTGTCCACGCACCGATTCGCCGTCGACGAATTTTGACACCATGTTATTCCAGATGGTGATGAAGCCACAAACAAGTTTTCTGACCCTCTAAGGATCGATCAAGACGACGTTGAGCTCCGGGAACTTGTCTCTGATGGCAGCCTTGATCCCCAGGCCCAGCGGCACCGGGCCTTTGTATTTTATTTGACACTCTCCCTTGGCAGGATCAACAGTGGCGAGCTGTACCACACCACCGTAGCCTTCGATGGCGCTTCTCAGCATGTCAATCTGTCCATTCAAGGCCTGCGAGCAAGGAACAGAGAGATGAGATCCATCGCGCGAAGAAAAACGAGGTGGCTTACTTCAAATGTCAAAGTTACACTTGGCCTGTTGATGTCGACCACTTCTTTCACAGCGTCGCCGAATTTCTCCCGGAGGACTCGCTCGATTCCCATTTTCATGGTGGACGTGGAGCTGGGACAAGTCCCGCAAGCCCCTGGAAGACGAAACCAAGCACGATCAGCCAGGAGAAAACAGCTTCTCAAGAGCAAACCTTGGAGTTCCAGCGAGACGGTTCCATCAGCGACCGAGACGACGGCCACATTGCCGCCATCAGCTACCAGGTATGGCCGCACCTCGTCCAGCACCTTGTCAACGTTCTCCGCGGTGAAATCATACGTCTCGGTAGAGTACAAGCCACTGCCCGCGGTGCTGCTCGTGTTGCTCGACTCAAACGGGCTCACCACCTCGCGCGAAGAAGTCGAAGAAGAAGCGTCCGAAGACGAAGAACCAGCGGAGGAGCCAACAGTTTCCATGGTCTGGCCATCGATCACACTGCTCCAGTTATCGCCCTCCACGGCCTGCAAGATCTTGAGGCGCCGCAGCTTGGCATCCTCGTCCTCGCCATCGACGTCGTCGTGCAAGTTCTCGCCCATGGCCTTGCGCAGCTTGAGCTTCTTCTCCTCGTACTCCCTCCGCTCGCTCTCGGACATGGACTTGGCCTTGGCGCTGCTCGTCTCCACCACCTTTGCGGAAGAAGACCAGAGGCTCTGTTCTTCCGGGGAGTTCCCTGGTGGTACGGCCTCGAGCTCTCGTATCCAGCGCTGCTTCTCTTCCTCCAGCCTCGACTTGGTGACGAGCGATGGATCGCCAAAGAGCTTCACCCTCACAAACGCGCAGCGCTCCTCGCCGGCTCGGGTTCTGTGCGTCTTGAGCGACAGGACGACGTTCCTGGAGAAGCCAACGTACTCCATCGCCTTGTTCTTGCCATAGACGGCGTAGACCCCCGGGAATTTGATGCTCTCTCTCGCCGAGACATAGCTCTCGAGCTCCAGGACGCTGGTTCCATCGTCCTCCCCTTCCCGGCCCTGGAATTCCTTGGCGGCGCCGTCGCCGTGGACCTCCGCCCCGGCCTCGCCGTAGAGGAATCCGTGCAGCCCCGAGTGGCCCTCGGGCACATTCTCATCGCTGACGACGCCGGAGAGGGATTGGAGGCGCTCGGCGGCCGATCCTGGCGCGAGCGAGGCGCGTACCTGGTGGAATCCAATCCGGCGCGCTAGCAATGGCGCAGATGATCTGGAGCGCCATGGCGACGGGAGGAACCCCAGGCCGGATCCCAGGCGCTGCTCGCACACCCTAAACGTTGCCCTAGTCCCGCAAAGGCCGGGAACACTGCAAGCCATCGTTCTCTTCTCCTCTCACCTCTCACTCAAACAAGAAATATCCAAAAGAATATCTAGATATGCCACGTCAGCTATACAGTTTGCCCTAAGCTAAGAACCCTAAAAGGAAACCCTAAGAACAGGGGACTAGGAGATCTGACACTACCATGTGAAGATGCGAATTCTCTTTTCTAGAACCACGGATGGATTGTAAGTACTGCGCTGCGGCGCTGCTGGTGGCCATGTGAGGGTGTGGAGTGGCGATTCGTGATCTGCGAGAGAGAGAGTTTCTCTAGTTAAGCTCGATGAGGGCTGGATCGAGCTGGATTGGAGCTTCCGAGAAAAATCCGCAGTGCCACTGCCAGAATTGCTGCTGCGTGACAGCCAAAGGGACGAGAGAGACCCTGTTGTTTGGAGCTTTGCCTGTCCTCTCCTCTCTTTTTTTTTTCCCTGCCTTTATATTCTCTTCCACTTCTCAAGTGGGCGATGGGCGAGGAGGAAAAATTGGATTGGAGCGGTGGAGGGCGAGGCCATGCATCCATCTCTGATTGATCGCGAGATTAGAGGGGCAAACGTGGCGCTGGATCAATGGGATCTAGGTCGATGCGAGTTATATGCGCACGAGATTCGAAAGGAATCATTGAAAAACAATGCCTGGGCGCTGGTGCTGGCGCTGCGATGCCTTACCACGAACGCCTTGAATTGTGGAGCCTCTGGGCCTTCTTTTGTGGACCCGTGATTCCTTCCACACCTTTCCCCTGTTTTTAGCTAGCAACGCCAAATTTTCTTCGCTCGAGATTGCGATCGATCGATCGATCCGTGACGTTTGCTCCTGGAATTGGGAGTGGTGCTCAGTCGCTCCTCTAGGCGATTCGATCGATCACACAAAGCTGTGGAGTGGTGCTCCTCTGGAGAGAGGATAAAAAATCGAATTTTTAAAGAGAGAACCACAACGAAAACAAAAAATTTCCTAGAAACTCTGCTGCTCTGAGTGGGATGGAGATGGATCCTGCGAAAGGAAGGAGGAGGGAAGCAAAGCGAGAGGAAAGAACGCATTTTTACTTGTACAGAGCTGCCGACTGATCGATCGATCGACGAAGAAGACGGTAAAATAGCCGAAAGATAACGATCTGTCCATCGTCACGAAACCGGGAGATCTGGGAGGAGTCTCCAATCCAAATCAGAGCAGCGAGAGCGAGCGAGGAGACAAATCTACGCACACCAATGTAGGAGCAAATCGAGAGAGGACTGGGAAAATCGAGAGAGAGAGAGGAAAAAAATGGAGCATGGATTGGAAAAAGATCGAGGTCTAGAACAGACCCAGCAGCGCGATGGAGCCCAAAACGATGGAGATGGGAGAGACGATGGCGAGAGCCGAGGATGGAGTGGTGCCGGGGGGGCTGGCTGGAGCATTGGCGGAGCCGCCGGGGGTGGGGGCGGTGGGTGGCGCTGGCGGCGAGGCGGCGGAGGGGACCGGCGCCTCAACCGGGGCCGGCGTCGCAACCGGGGGCGTCGCGGGCGCTGGCGTGGGCGTGGGCGGCGCCATAACCGGGACTGGTGGCGGCGCAAGGGATCCGGTGGGCGGCGCTGCTGGGACGTCCGCGAATGACACTTCCAGCTTCATCCCGGGACGAACTGCAAGGAAAGAATGAAATTTAAGCGTGAAATCCTTGCTACTGCCCAGATCCAAGCAGCATTCCTGAGATTTTTCCTCCTCCTCGAGAATCCTGGATCTCCTTCTCGAGAAGAAGGAGAAGTTCTCACAAAGAAAACATGGAGGACTTCTTCGAGAGCTTACCGACATACTCGTTCTCGCCACTGCAAGCTTGGAATGAGACGAGCAATGCTGCTACTGCGAGGAAGAAAATCTGTGCCATTTTCTCCTTTCCTCCCAAGATCCCGAGCTCTCCTCTCGCAAACTATAGATCGATCTTCCCTGGAATAAGAGAGAGAGAGAGAACTCCTCGCAAGAACTCTATAAGCAACGAGCGTTCCTTCGTCTTCCCTTCTCTTAACAGGGGAAATTTAACCGGTGCCTCTCCTTTAAAAGGCAAAGGACCGACCTATTAAAACTTAACATAACGTGGTTTCACATACGAGACGTGTTACGCCAAGATGTGGGTCCGACGTGGCGGCCGGGTGCCAGCAAGGCAGCGACGACGACGTGTGAGGGCCCGGACGACACGGCTGGCGCGCACATGCTGCCGCTTGAGCACCAATGGGGTCCTGCCACGTAGTTGGTTAGGGTTTTTCCGGGCATGTCCTCTTCGATGCCAACAAGGGACACACAGTTGGGAATGATGTATTGAATTGGTTGGGAAAAAAAAACTTTAGGAGTTATCACACGATCGCGCTTAGTTGTTTGCCAGCATTTCTCCCATGTTCTTCCAACGTATATGGCTGGCGCGATTTCAATTAAATTCTGACGTAACGTGTTCTTGCTTGGAGATGCCGGGTATCGATCCCAGTACCTCTCGCATGCTAAGCGAGCGCTCTACCATCTGAGCTACATTCCCTTAGAAAAATTCGGACCGTTGAGAATAGGGTTCTTACGTTCCTAGGGAAGCTGTGGCTTGGCGGCGATCCACTCCACCGGCAATCTCTGGTACCCTCCCACTGGCCCCGGCACAGTGACCCACTTCACGGCCGTCCAGTGCCGCAGCGTCGACACCAGCACGCTCCAGTTCCTCCACCGCGCCTCCTCCTCGATCACGCCCCAGCGATTGGCGGTGTCGATCTTGTACAGGATCCCCAGCTTCACCTGGTGCTGTTGGGGTTTCACGTCGCGCACCACGGCGTGGACGAAATCGCCGGCCACATCGCTCACCTGGATGTTCACAATGTCGCCGCGTAGCGGCCATCGCAGCGGCGTCCTGCTCGCGATATCCGGGTCGGAGAGGTTGAAATCCGTGCCTGCAAGATCGAAATATCGAGGTAAGACCGTGTTCTTGGATGATCGATCGTCTCCTTGGGCATCAAGGTCTGGAAGTCGCAGAGTTTAGATGACTTACTGGAGGTCCCTGTGCTGCGATCGCTGGCATCAAACGCTGCTCGCAAGGTCGTTTCCTTCTTGATACACGCTGTAAAGGCTTTGAGCTCTTCTCGGACTCTCTCATCCGCGGTCTGATGGGTTTTTTGCTTTGTAGGGATCCTTGGAACATCGATCACGCCTTCCAGCATCTGGAGGACTCGGCTCATCGATGGTCTGTTGGATGGATCCTGCTGGATGCAACACAGAGCCGTCTGGATTGCCCGGTTGGCTTGATCCTGGTAAAAGTACTCCACCTCCTCGTTGAGGTGTGTGTCGACGAGCTCCAGTCCCCGTCCCTCGGCTACAAGTTTGCTCGCCCATGGCGGTAAGTACCATTCTTCAGAGCTCTTGCTGCTAGAGATTTGGAATGACTCTCTTCCGCAGATTAGCTCCAGGAGAACGATGCCAAAGCTGTATACATCGACTTTGGTGGAGACTGGAGCGTTGGAGTTAAGCCATTCGGGAGCGAGGTAGCCCGGAGTTCCACGCATGTTGGTCACGACCCTGGCCTTGTCTCGATCCACCAGCTTTGACAGTCCGAAATCGGTGACCTGTGTAAGACACTTTAGCTTCCTTTTCTTTCTGAGAAAGCTGGAACCATTTAGTTCCAGAAGCTTTGCTGTTCCAGGGAGATGGAGAGCAAGCGACGTTACCTTTGGAGAAAAGTTCTCGTCTAAAAGTATGTTCTCGGGCTTGATGTCCAAATGAATTATCTGCTGTGTGCATTCTTCGTGCAGATAAGTTAAGCCTCGGGCCATTCCCACCGCAATCTCGTACCGCTTTGGCCAGTCCAGCAGTCGCTCCTTTCCTGGAGTTTCACAGGACAGAGGTAATTCATTCGCATTACGATCGATCACCTTTAGCTCCCCAGTCAGCAAAGAAAGAGAGAGGCAAATATCCAGAACAGCAACGAGTTCCACTCACCTGGCTCCGCAAACAACCATTTGTCGAGCGAGCCATTCACCATGAATTCGTAGACGAGGATCCTGCGAGAAGTGCAGTAGCCTTTGAAGGGAATGACATTCTTGTGATGGATCCCCGCCATGGAAATCACCTCCGCTTTGAATTCCTTCTCTCCCTGAGTGGACCATTCCTTGAGAACCTTGACAGCCACTCTGCTCCCGTCCTTGAGAAATCCTTCGTACACCTGGCCGAATCCCCCATTCCCGAGCTTGGTACTAAAGTTCTTCGTCATGCTTCGTATCTGGCTGTAGGAGAACTTCTTCGGGAGGAGCTGTGGGAGAAAATCGGACTTGCTCTTCCTAGTGAACCACATCGTTGAGAGGGAGGCAAAGCCGAAGAGGAGGATGAGGAGGATGAGGAGTGGAAAGGACGCTGTTGCATCAAAGAAGCACAACGCACTTTTGTCTCCACTATAGAGCGAGGCACCCCTTCCAGGTTTGTTCGTGAAAGTTTACTGATTTAAAAGCTAGAACGATTGGCTCGCTAAAAGCTTGAGAAGAGAATCATTGTGTTCCTTTCGTTGCAGCAACCGAATCGCTTGCGCAGATAAAATCTCAGCGAGCGAAGCCAGATAAAACGAAGAAAAAATCCCAGAGTCCTGCGCGAGCAAGCAACGCGAGAGCTTGTATTTTGGCTTTAAATCCGCCAGACCAATGCCAGCAACTTAAAAACATAGATTTGTCACTTTGCCTTATTCTTCACGTGGGCTAGCATATGATTGACGACTGGGCCCTTAAACCTGATTAAAGTGGATATTAAGTTTCATCCTATCCGGTTGCGTGAGCATATTCCCCTGTCAGAGAGAAATATCTATCGTACGCCTGTCGGGCAGCCACGTCGAAGGGCACGGAAGCGCCATCTGTGGAAATATTTTCTAGGGTTCTTGGGCGGAGCAGCTCGCCGATCGACAGGTTTGTAGCGATGGATCGCGGATCGTGAGGTCGCGCGCGCTTGCCAGTGATGTATAGCCGGGTCAGCAGCGGTGGCTCGCGCGGCGGCCCGGGCAGTGGGAATGGAGCTGGGGCGGTGGTGAAGCTGGACCAGGTGCCGTGCTGGAGCGATGTCGAGCAGCGCAGCAGTGTGGGGGACGGATTGGATGATGCCGCTCAGAGGAATTTCGACCCGCTGTCCGGGAGCAGTGGCCAGAAGGTCTCCAAGTTTGGGATTGATCACAGCATCAATGGGAAGCTGTATATCTGGAAAGGTGTTCCCTGGAACCTGGAAGTCGATGCGGTGGTGAATTCTACTAACGAGGCAAGTTTAAGTTTTGTGGTTTTGCTCACGAGCTTGAAATTTTGGGATGTTCTAGAATTTAGATGAAGCTCATAGCAGTCCTGGACTACATGCTGCTGCTGGACCGGGGCTTGCGGAGGAGTGCTCGAGTCTGGTAAGATTTCCATCTATCTTTGCATTTTGTTTCCGGATTAGTGAAACGTTTGGAGCGAGTTTTATCAGGGTGGCTGCAGAACTGGAATGGCGAAGATCACCAGCGCGTATGATTTACCCGCTAGGTACTTGGAAATCACATCATTTTGTGCATGATCATAGTACGCTTTTTCTCTAGGCGTGTCATTCACACTGTGGGTCCTCGATACGCTGTGAAGTATCACACAGCTGCTGAAAATGCCCTTAGTCATTGCTATAGGTCTTGTCTTGAGCTCCTAATCGAGCACGACCTTGAAAGGTAAGTTTGTTATCTCAAACCTCACTGTTTGAGTTTTTTCTTTTTTGTTCTTAGCATTGCGATGGGCTGTATTTATTCTGAAACCAAAGGCTATCCCCGTGAACCTGCTGCGCATGTTGCAATTCGTAAGTTGAAGTGCTCGCTATCGGGGTCAAATATGATCTTAACTTCTGGGGCCTGAACAGGCACGGTGCGTAGATTTATGGAGAAACACGGGACCAAAATCACCGGTATCGTGTTCTGTATGACAACGTCCACGGATGCAGAGATTTACAGAAGGTGAAGTATTTCTTCTGATGATTTAAACCGTTTGCTGGTATTTATATTTCCATAGGCTGTTACAGGTTACTTCCACTCTATTTTCCAAGAGATAAGTACGAAGAAGATGTTGCGAGCGTGAAGCTTCCTGCTGACGTTGGAGACGAGAACGGAGAAACGATTATAACCGAGCGCAAGATTAGGATCTCTGCGCTGCCTTCATCCGAATGGGCTCCAAGCTCGCTAGAAAATGGCATCAATAACTATCGAGCAGTAGCAGTTAAAAGGTTCTATCATTTGTTTACTCGTTTGAAGTTTAATGTGCTCTTCTGTGCACAGGAACGAATCGTTGGACGCACTGGTCGACCCTGCGTTTATGTCCATGACGAAGGATCCCGATCAGAGAAGGCAGGAACAGTGGGAGAAAATAGCACAGGCTCAAGGAGGCTGGGCGTGGATGAAATGGATGGGATTGGGATCACTTAACACTGCACCATTGTCGCTTTCGGAAGAGAATGCAATCCATGCCCGTTATCTGGCGAGAGCAAACGTGATCAATCTCACTGAGGTAGCAGAAATGAAGATTATGTAAGGCACCAGTAAGAGCTCTATCTAGAACAGCAACGCTGATACAACGGGTATGACATGCAGATACCGTGCTGGTGTGGACGCGGATGGCAAGCCAGTGATTGTCGTTGTAGGAGCGCATTTTCTACTTCGGTGTCTCGATCTAGAGCGGTTTATTCTCTACGTTGTCAAGGTAAGCGCACAAATAACTTTTTATTCTCGCTGTTACGAGCTCTTGTAAATTTTTCGCAGGAGTTTGAGCCTGTCATCCAAAGGTCATACACGATAGTTTATATTCACTCCGCGGCGTCTCTACAAGCGTGAGTTGCGTCGGCAAGCGTTCTTTGCGTCACTAATCATTGTAAATGATGCCTCCAGGGTGCCGGATTTAGGATGGATAAAGCGAATCCAGCAAATTCTGGGCCGCAGGCATAAGCGCAATCTCAATGTATGTTCTGCTATGCTTTCATTCTTCTCAGCTGGTAATTATGATACCATCTACGTCTTCTTGCAGGCAATTTATGTCCTGCATCCTACAGTAGGATTGAAGACAGCGATTTTAGCGTTGCAGCTGTTAGTCGATCAAGAGGTAAAAAAAAAAAAAAAAGCGATTTTTCACATCATCATTGAGTAAATAATGCCTGTTCTTGTTGTTTTGCCCCTTTCAGGTATGGAAAAAGGTTGTTTATGTGGAGCGGTTGCTAGATCTTTTTCAGTTTGTTCCACGCGACCAGTTGACCATCCCAGATTTCGTGTTCCAGTAAGATAATTTTTTCTCTTTCTCTCGCTGCTGCTTTGCAATTTTATCTTCCTTTGTCTGGCATGGAAACTTATCCGATCGAAACCCCGCAGGCATGACCTGGAAGTAAATGGCGAGAAGGGATTGGGCGCTGATCAGAAGCCGAGAACGATCGCGAATCGAAGCAGGCAAATTGCAGCGGCGGCAGCAACTGGAAGATGATAGCGCGCTCGTCCAAAGCCGAGAAAAAGATAAGGAACTTCTATCCGCTATTCATAATTTTTTTAACGTGGTGGTGGTGTTCGTGCTCGTCGTCGTGTATACAAAAGAGAAAAACAAGAGAATCGCAAGTATTTTTTATTGTTGTTCCTGTACGTCATTCTTTGGACATTATTGTTATCTCTCTACGCACGCGATATTCGTATGCCGTATCACCACGCGTATTTCCTCCTCGGTAAAAAATATACTGGATGGCAAATGGGTGGCCATTATGGGGATAGGGAACGGATGGATGATGGGGATCAACCCCGCGCTCCCATTGGGCGTTCCCTGGTGACGTGGCGGAGATAACATGCCAGGTCAGCGCACGGGGGCATATTCTTCCCAACCGTTAGATGGGGAATATCCCCGCGAATAATCTCGCGGCGGCCGGTTGATAAGAGTCGGTCAAACATTGCAAGCGCGCAGGGAAGTACGCGTGGAGGATGTACTTTGGCCGTTAATAAATTTCTAGCGATTGCAAAGTTACCGCGGTTAATAATAGCGACTGGATTGATCGATCGATCTCTTGGTTTCATAATAAGAATAGGGCTGGGGGTGGATCTAATGGTGGCCTTTTTTTCTAAATTTCAGTTCATTAGCTCTCAAACAGAAAGGGGTTTTCTTTTACATTTCTCGTTTTAGTTTCGTTTTTCTTTTTTCTTTTCTTTTTTTTGGAGAGGGAAGTGAGTGTGAAAATCTTTGAAGCGAGCAAAGGAAGCGCCCTTGCCTCGCTTTAGGGTTCTTGAGCGAGCGCGCGCGCGCGCGCCCGGGCCAGCGCTCCGAGATATCCGTTGCAGCGCGATTCAACCGGTCGCGACGCGATCGATCGGTGGAGCGTGTGTTTGTTTTGGTTCCATTCTTCCATCGGACGAGGGAAGAGGGGGATTTTCTTGCGCAGACCCAATCCGTTTGGCCGTGGGCGGGGCTAGGGTTTTTCAATCGCGGGGCTAGAATGCAAGGCGGCGGCATGGAGCAGCGCAACCGGCATTGGCATGAGCGGGCGATCTTGTGAGGAGCGCGGCGCCGAGAAATGTGATACTCTCCTCTTCTAAATGCCCGGCATAGATCAAGGAGCAGCGGGCGAGCGACGGGATTTCTTTCTCCTCTCCGGCGATTCTTCGCTCTAGCAAGAAGAGGAAGGAGGAAGCTTTCTTTTTCTCCTTCTTCTTCCTCCTCGATTGGCAGCGCGGCGCTACATCCAAATATTTCGCGCTCGCGCTTCTTCTTCGTCTTGGCGGCGGCAAAGGGAAATATTTCGCGCTGGAAGGCTACGATAAGCAGCGGTGGAGAGGGGAAGGCGACCTCCTGAGATCACTCTACGGCATGGAAGGGAGGGAGCCCCCATCTGGGCTCTCGCCCTCCAATCTCCAGCAGCACCAGCAGCACCAGCAGCACCACTCCATGGCCGCCGCGCAGCAAGCTCCATCCTTCTCCGCCATTCTCCAGCGCGGCCCGATTCCTCCCGGCATTCATCACCTCCCATCGCCCCCCGGCTTGCATGCTTCATCGGGGCTCCGCCCGGCCTCCATCGCCAGCCCTAATCCCTCCGGGCAAGCGCCCGGCGGCTATCCTGGCGATGGCATGGCTCTCGTACCACAGCAGCTCGGCGGTGGCGGCGGCGGTGGTGGTGGCGGCGGCAGCGGCGGTGGCAGCGGCGGGGTGATGGGCGGCGGCGTTGTGGGTAGCGTCCGGCCTGGGGAGCCTGTCAAGAGGAAGCGGGGGAGGCCCAGGAAGTATGGAGACGGTGCCAGTGGCAGCAGCAGTGTGTCGCTCGCGCTCACGCCTCTCTCCTCCGTCAGCCCGATATCATCGGTCACTACCACTCCCACAGAGAAAAGGAGAGGCCGGCCTCCCGGGTCTGGGAAAAAGCAGCAACTTGCAGCTCTTGGTACGTTCGTTGCTCTATCCATCCTATCCCTCTTCTTTTTCTTGCATTTCTTTTACTAGTTTTCTCTGTTCATTGTCGTATAGTTTTGATACATATACGGCTTGGTCTATAACACCCGGCATTACTTACAGGCTCCGCTGGACAAGGCTTCACTCCTCATGTCATCACGATCGCTGCTGGAGAGGTGAGAAAAAAAAGGAAGAAGATATCTCTCTCTCTATCCGAAATCTAAGCTTGATTTTTTATTTTTTATTTCGTTTTTTCTTTTTGCTCCAGGATGTTGCCACCAAAATCATGTCTTTCTCGCAAACTGGACCCCGGGCAGTCTGTGTTCTGTCCGCCAACGGTGCCATTTCAAATGTTACGCTTCGTCAACCGGCTACTTCTGGTGGCACTGTGACATACGAGGTGAGTGAGCTACTTCGCTGTTCATCTCTCGCTTGTTTTGCGATTGCCAATTCCGAAGTTCCAAATTGGGAGGTGTTGCAGGGTCGTTTCGAGATCCTCTCCCTGTCAGGATCTTTCCTCCTCACCGAAAGCGGGGGCACGCGAAGCAGAACAGGCGGTCTGAGCGTGTCCCTGGCCGGACCAGATGGACGCGTCGTTGGCGGTGGAGTCGCCGGGCTTCTCATGGCTGCCACTCCCGTTCAGGTTAGTAGTAGTTCTCTCTCATTTAATGGCGGCTACTGCTCCTTGTGTGCTGTGTGTGCTTAAAGAGGCTTGAACCTGATGGATATGGATAGCTGTTTCTTTTCTTTCTCATTGCTCTCGCTCTCTCTCTCTCTCTCTCTCTCTCTCCCTTTCTCACTCCCTTGCAGGTGGTTGTAGGGAGCTTCATTGCGGACACGCGCAAGTCTGTGCCATTGCGGGCCATGGACAGCCCGCAGGGCGCCTCCGCCTCCGGATCCATGCAGAGGCCAACCAAGAACGAGTCAGGGGCGAGGAGCCCGGATAGTCCTCACATGGAACAGCAGAGCAGCGGCGCTGGTGGTGGTCCTGGTGGTGGCGCTGGTGGTGGCGCTGGTGGTGGCGGTGGCGGTGGCGGTGGCGGTGGTGGAGGCAGCCTGTTGCAGCACTCGCAGCACTCACAGCACTCGGTCCAGGGGATGGGCAGCTTAGGAGGATGGTCGAGTAGCCAGACGCTCGCGGAGCCGCGGCGTGACACAGATATCAACATACCGCTGCCGAACGGGTGATGGATTGGGGGACTGGGAACACAGGGGCAGGGGGGCCTGCGCTGGGGGGCTCTTCCTTCTCCTCCGGAAGAGCGCAAGGCAAGCGCACGCAGTGGTCTAATTCTCTCTGACAATTGGTTTGCGGGGACTGTTTTTTTAGAGAAGACAATAGCTTGGCTGGGCACAAACACACAGACACAGACACAACGAAACTTACGAACTTACGATTGAAGAAGAAGAAGGCATGGAAGCTTATATATTCTTTTTCTCCTTTTTAACTTCGCAGTGAATCAAGCGGCAGCAGTGGTAGGAAAGGGAAACAAACTTGCGGTATCATTTCTCCATGGAGGTTATATGCATATGCTTGGAAAGCAAAAGAGCTGTGCGTTGTACTCCACGAATCTTCTCTCTTTTTGGCTTTAATCTGGTTTCTCCAGTTTGGTTTTTTTTTTTTTTGCGGCATTTAAGTAGTGTATCCATTCGCTCTTAATCCTTTTCTTTGTCCTCGTGTTTTCTCTTGACGATTCTATGGCTCGAGCGAGATCACTGGAGAGAATGGATACAAAAGAGTAAGGCCATACAATCGTTAAGAGCAAGCGAACTAAACTGGCCCACGTACTGTGAGTGGGAAAGGAAGGAAAGAGATGCGTAAGCTAGTGTGTGCTTGGAATGAGAGAACCTGGCGCGAAGAGCGAGCACGTCTTGATATTTGCTTTTGTCGAGATCTCGCCAGGAAGCACAGAGTTGCAGCAGAGGCGCGGGCCTCCATTTCCCTGCTGGGCCGCCGTGGAGCCGAAACTGGGGTCGTCGTTCCGACGCTTTTTTCGTCTGCGGCGGGGCCTTTGTCCTTGTGTGCGCAGCCGCGGCCAGTGCTTGTGGTGTGCTTGATTTTGATTGAGCCAGCCTCCTCCTCCTCCTCCCCCCCCCCCTCTCTCGTCACATTTATAGTGTGTGAGAGTCAGGGCTCTCATCTTTACTCAGCCAGCACCCCTCCAAACTGGCATTTTTTCTGTTTTGCTCTGCGGCCAACTTCGAAACTAATCAAATGGATTGTGACCTGGTACAGAGGCACGGAATTGTTAGGCGATAATCCATCTTCGCTGATAACCACATACCTTAGTCTAAGCGAGACAATTGTGTTTGCGCTTGCAATCACAAGTCAAAGTCTGGAGGCGAGAGAAACGCTGTCAGAAGAACAAACAAAACATCTTCGAAGAAGAAAAGAGCTACTGCTTACCAGGAAACCAAGAGAAGGGAGATCATTTGCCTCTCCACAGCTTGTGGACTTGGACGCCAACGTAGAACAAGGAGGAGCAGACGAAGAGGAAATCGAACTGGTGCGCGAATCTCGACACTCTCCCCAGGTTGATGACGAGAAACCGCATGAACGGTCGCCTTCTCTCCTGTCGCTGTATGTATGCGGTGGACGACGCCTCTTGCATGCGTCTCGCGAAGATGAGGCACGCCACCTTGCTCCTGAAGGCCCTCTTGGCGTGCTTCTGTTTCTTCTGCCCCGTCTTGGTCCGTTGCAGCAGCCTGGGAATGCCATCCCCCGCCCCCGTTTGAGAGGTCCCTACGCGAGTCTTCACGTAATGGCGATAATGCCGCTTCTGCGGCTCCTGCTCCGACGACGACGACGACGACTCATCGCTCACCTCCTCGAGTGTGTCCATCATGCACAGCGACTTCCTCTTCACGGGCACCGAGCTGGAGCTGGAGGAGCTTTTACTGTACAACTGCATGTTGAGCGACGCTGTGCACACCTCCACCTTGGAACCGCTTGGCTTTTGCAGCGTGGCAGAGGCCGCAGCGATCTCGGTGGACTGGATCGCAAAGACGTTGTCGATGTAGCTCAAAAGGCTGTGGCCCTTCACAACGTCGACGTTGATCGCGCCCAAGTGGAAGTTGAGGTGGTGCCTGACCGTCCAGCAATCCTGATCGACATACTCCACGGCGCTTTTGTCGGGATCCAGAAGTACCATCTTCCCGGCAAAGTAGTATCCATATCCTGACTGGTGCGACAGTGCAAGCGCCAGAGCTCGGTGAAGTACAATGCGCAACAGGCCAGGGAACCAGGCTATGGCTTGCGCACAGACTGTGAAGATCCTCACTTTGTAGTTCTTACGCCGCATTACAAGCTGGCCTGCCATAAACGCGAGGTTGCCGAGATGCATGACTTCCTGGAGAGGACCAGCTTGCAAGCCTGCCCACATTGAGTAGATCATGTAAGCCACTGGCATCACCTTGGGCACGATGTCGTCACGAGAAACAATGTGCACAAAGTGGCGCTTGTAGTTCACGTTGATGTGCCTCGCGAGGCTGTAGTCGGCGAAGAACGGACACCCGAACGTATAACACTGGAGCTGTACAAGGACAAGACACAAAGTGTGTGAGGCAGGAGCAGGAGAGTATCGTTGAAAGAGAACAAAAAGACCGGCAGGAACAACAGTCAGACGAGTAGAAAACGGACAAAGCGAAGGAGAAAAGCAAAAAGTGTAAGGACCATCTACACAGGATACAGTAACAAAAAGAAGAAGTGACGTGTCGAAACTACGAAAAACGAGAAGAAACAAGCTAAGAAGCATTGATCATACAAAACCAAAACCACGAAGTAGAAACTAAGACCCAACGGAAGAAAGATTGATAAAACAAAACCACATCGAAACAACGAATGGAAACAAGCTAAAGAACCATTGATCAAACAAAACCGAAACCACGAAGCAGAAAATAAGACCCAACGAAACAACGATTGATCAAACAAAACCGCGAAAAGAAACAAGCTAAGGAACGAGTGATCACAAAAACCACTTAGTAGAAAACCAAGAACCACCGAAGAAAAAAAAACCACATCGAAACAACGAATGGAAACAAGCTAAAGAACCATTGATAAAAAAAAACCGAAACCACGAAGCAGAAAATAAGACCCAACGAAACAACGATTGATCAAACAAAACCGCGAAAAGAAACAAGCTAAGGAACGATTGATAAGAAAAAAAAAAAAGAGAAAATTTGGCAGAGTAGAGTACCTGTTGGTGACACCATCGTCCGGTGGCCTCCAGCAGACGCAATCCCAGCAGCGAGGCGACAGCGCCACCCAAGGAATGCCCGGCCAGCACCAAGTTCTCGCCTCGAATAAGCAACCTCCGGAAATAGTCCAGTGGAATAGTCTTGGCCCTGTCCAAAAACCCAGCATGCGCGGCGCCGGGGCCGAGGCTGAGCGTGCGATGGATAAACTTGAGATCCGTGAGCGCGTCGCTCACATCGAACGTACCCCGGAACGCTGCAATGACGTGCTTCCCGGTCAAGCTCCTCACCACGACGAGCGTCTGCCGGCAATTCCCAAACCCGGCTTCGCGCAGCTCCTCCTCGGGCACGAACTCGTACTGCGCGGAGGGAGGGAGGCCATACGCCTCGTTCATTGCACGAAGCTCCTCCTCAGGGTCCTTGCTATAGACCACGGCAGAGAGAATGATAGCATCGATCAGCCATAGCGGGTGCTTGTCGTCCTTGATGATCTTCCCCAAGGAAGACATCGCCTGCCACCGACCTGAATCCCCTCTCGATCAAATCTATCCCGAAATCTATCGCTCACCGCCTAGACTGCCGCATTCTTCCAGCGCCAGCAGCGAATGGACGAGAAAGAGCCCTGGAATCCGAGAATGCGGTCCCCAGAGATAAAATCTCGCGGGAGGAGCCCTAAAATATATACCTCTGGTAAAAGTCCTTCCATCTCAGCCATACACGTGGGGCCCAAAGAGCTATCCTCGTGGCGATGGTCATGTCCGCAACGTGGCAAGATTGTACTGGCAATAGATTCCCAAATCTTTTGACCAAACGATGTAAAAATATTTGCTCCAATCAATCAATACAATGCTTATCTCCTCGCGCTTTCTGAATAGTAATTTGTTTTCTACACCGACGATCTCTTGTCCTTGAATCCAAACCATTTTTTCTTTGATTTCTCCTTTCCAGTAGTGGTGGTGTCTTTGTCTGTGTCTTTATCCTTTTCTCGCGCTGGCGATGCCGTGGCCGACGACGAGTTCTCGTCCTTGCCATTGCTTTCTTCCATGTTCACTTTGTGGCTCGATGCTCCGTGCTTCTTGGAAGTCGAGAACGAAGCGTGGATTTTGTCGCGGTTCTTCAGGAGAATGTCAACCTGCGCGTTCATCGCTCGTAAGAGGAAAAAACTCTACAGGAACTATGGAAACTTACAGCGCTTTTTTCAGCCCCATACTTGTGCGTTACTGCGGTAAATCTGTTCAAAGCCTGCACAAAGGAACGTAATCTAAGCGCGAGCCAACCACAAAAACAAAGAGCTACCTCGCGGTACTCGGCTTCAAAATCGCGTAGCTCGTTCCTTTTCACCATTATCTGGTCCTCGATTTCCTGGAGTTGCACTGCGTTGTCTTTAAACGAATCGGCGCAAACTGCCTCGATGGTGTAACTGGCACTCTTGAAAAAATTGTCACCTGCATGCACGAGGCATTCACGAACCCGAAAGTGACGAGAAAAGGCACATCAGCCTACCATACACGGCAAAAACGTGTGAGCCGGCTCTCAATCCCAAAACTTCGCATGGTTGAAGCCCTTCCAATCTCCTGAAGAATGCAGTATCAGGATCCCTTGCCATTGCCAACTAATAAAAAGAGTGCGTGCATTAAGTACAAGAAAAAGAAAGAAAGCAAGCTACGTACCGCATTCATTGTTGTATCCAATCTGTACACTTGGAAATGAAGAAAATACATGCCAGCGGATGTCACCTTGCCAGTCTTTGTGCTATCTTCCTGAAACGATACAAATGAACATTGCAAATTGCTAAGAAAAACTTCAAAAGACCTGAAGAGCCAGTCCGAGGCCCCCGTTCTCCTCCGGCTCAAAATACAAAAGCTACGCAAAGTAAAGTTAGTGCTGGAAATTTAAAATCTACGAACAAGCACCTTAAACTTGCTTTGAGCTGTGGAATAGACACGAACAACAAGTCCCGACGCGGCTTGGGCATCCGTGAGATACACACCGTAAAAGTGTGCTCCTTGCTTCTCCACCTGGATATGAGCTCGTGTCAACAATCATCTTCGGGAACGACAGAAATATACCTTGTCATGAACAGCTTGGCCGAGAGAAAGCGGTCTGATTTGAACCGATTCATTGAGCGCTTCCTCCAAAACAGTCGGTGAGATCGACGTCTTGATCGGGACGCCCAACTTGCTGCAAGAAAACGAACGAAAGAAACAACCAAATTCAAAATCCCCACCACCTCAAAGCTGATACTTTTTTTTCCACAATCCAGGACGGCACACACCTGAAAATCGCAGCAAACATGGTGTTGACAGTTCCCAGATTCGACAAGTCCACCTCAAGCCCGTCAAGCTCCACGGCCTGTAGCGATAATGTTAGAAAGCTAGACTTTCAAGCTTGCAAGAGAAAAAAAACACCAAAGAGAAGAAGTCGTAGCTAGTGAAAATTCTCACCTGGAAACCAGCAGCGTCATACTGGCGCCTCTTCTCAACGTCCGAGAGTATGCTGTAAGAGAAGGCTACTTCCTTGAAGAGCTCCGCGGCCTCAGGATTATCAGCGTTCTTATCTGGATGGAGCCTGTGTCACGGATGGAAGAGCTAAGGAAAGATCAAAACATAAAGAAGCAAACCAGAGGCAAGAACTTACTTGAGAGCCATCTTCCGGTACGCGGCCTTAATCTGCTGATCCGTGGCATTTCTTGGGACGCCGAGAACATCGTATGGATCCCTGTGATCCCCCTCCTTGGATTTGCTACTGCGAGGCCCCTTGACGTCGCCCATCCTCGCCTCCGCTCGCCCGCCTAGCAAAATTCCCCCGCCATAGCCCTAGAAAGGAGGAAAATACCCTAGAAAAGCGTGCTGGAGCTGGATCTGTGCTTGAATCTCCAAGAAATCCTTTGCCGGCCGCGCTACCTGGATGATTGGAGAGCGCGTCGTTCGCCTCCGCCTCCTCGCAGCAACGGAGGAAAACTCCACGCAGCGCCAGTGCTTTTGTTCTTCCCTTGGAATGCACGTCACGGGCAGCCGTCCGATCCAACTACCGCTACCCGTCCGATCCACGGGCGCGGATATGCTACAAATGCCTGATTTTAGGGTTCTTCGTGGTCTCGAGCGATGAATCCGTTCGATGGATCGCAGGGAATGCCTCGCGCTGATACGATCGTGCACGAGCCTGCCCGCGGCGCAGGAGATCCACACCCGTGCGCGCGCGCATTTCCCGATCCGCGATGTTTTCGCGTGGAACAAGCTGATCGAGATGTATGGGCGATGCGGCAGCGCGTCCTCCGCTCGCGAGATCTTCGATTCGCTGCCTCTTAAGGACTCCTACTCCTGGGATTTCATGCTCGCGGCCTACTCGCGCAATGCCCTCTTTGACGACGCCGCCCGGTTCTTCCCCACAATGCCGCAATGGAGCCTCGTCTCCTACACGACGGCGATGATCGCGAATGCCCAGCTCCGGCATTTCGCCGACGCGCAGCGCATCTTCCACTCGATGCCTGAGTGGGATCTCGTCTCCTCCACCGCGATGCTGGGCGAATTGGCCCAGATCGGCCTCCTCGACGAGGCCGTGGAGATTTTCCGCGCGATGTTGGAGCGAGACATCCAGGCCTGGAGTGTCTTCCTCTTCGCATTCGCGCACCATGGCAACCTCAGCGACACCGCCAGGATCTTCGCGGGGATGCCCGAGAGGAATCTCATCTCGTGCACTGCGATGCTGGTAGCGATCGCGGAGGTGGGCAGTGCCCGCCTCGTGGAAGAGGCGAGGGATCTATTCTGGAGCCTCCCGGAGCGGGACATAGCGTCCTCGACGGCGATGATTAGGGTTTATGCCCAGAGCGGGCATTTGGACGAAGCACGGCGCTTGTTCGAATCTATCCCACTACACACAATCGCTCTAAACACCGCGATGCTGGCGGCGTTTGCCCAGAGCGGCGACATCGCTCGTGCAAGACTTGTTTTTGATCAAATGCCCGAGAGAAATCTCATATCATCCAACGCGCTCCTCTCGGGGTATGCCCAGAACGGGCATTGTGACAAAGCGAAGGAACTGTTTGATTCCATGCAAGAATGGAGCTCCGTTTCGTGGAATACGATCATATCGGCCTACATCCAATCCTCGCAACTTAGAAGCGCGAAGAAAGTGTTCGCTGCTATGCCCGAGAAGAACATCGTGGCGTGGAACGCGATGATCGCTGCAAATGCCAAGTCTGGGAATTTGGAAGAGGCTAGTTTCTTGTTTCGAAACGCTCCTGAGTGGAACACAGTTTCGTGGAATACAATCCTCACTGCGTTCGCCCAAAATCGGTGTTTGAGAGAAGCCATGGAAACTTTCGAGAGAATTCCCGAGAAAAGCAGCATTTCGTGGACTGCCATGCTCTCCGCTTATGCCCAGAACGGGCATCTTGATCGAGCGAGGCTGTTCTTCGATCGAATGCCGAGCCCGTGCATCGGATCCTGGAACGCAATGCTCGCCAGCTACACAAACAGCGGCTGTTCCAGCGATGCCTTCTCCCTCTTCGACTCCATGAAGATCCTCGAGACCCCGGACGAAACGAGCTGGATCATCGCGCTCCTCGCGTCGTGCTACGCGGGCGACGTCGGCATTGGCCAGTCTCTCTTCGTGTCGATGGTGGCAGATTTCGGGATCCCGGCCAAGAGGATCCACTTCGGCTGCGTGATCAATCTCCTGGGCCGGGCCGGGCACGCCGACGCTGCCCGAGATCTCATCGCCAACATGCCCTTCGAGCCGGATCTTCTCCAGTGGCGCTGCTTTCTCGAGACGTGCAAGAAGCAGAAGAATCCCCGGTACAGCGCCGGGGCGGCAAAGCGAATCCTCGGATTGAACGCCTCGGATGGATCGGTCTACGTTTCCCTGGCATCGGTAGTCCAAAGCTCCCAGCCAGTCTCCGTGTTCTAAGGAAACATCGCCGTTGATCACGGGACCACCAAATGCAAATAGCTCCAAATGGCTTATACTTTTTCATTCCATAGGGTGAGATGGTCCTCGATTCGATGGATGTATGGGTGGAAGTGGAGGCTTGTTCCATCAAACTTTTACAGCCACTGTCACTACTGGGCCAATGATTTCTAGATCAAGCACAGCGACGAGGGCTCCTTTTTAAATTTTATTTTCGCGGATACTATATGGTCCACCTGCCCTGTCAAGGCATTTGGTGGTCCTTTGGCTCGATCCAACTCCATCCACGTTGCTAGCACCCAAGAATTTATTATCAACCAGAGTTCCCATGGGCAAAGTGCTTGTTTGTTTGTGTATTTCTTCGCATATGCCATTGGGGAAATTTAAGAGCCCTAAGTAAAGCCAATAAAAGGGTGACACGCGTCAAGGGGACAAAATGGAACTATAATCCATGATCTCCATTGTTTTAACCCTTTAGGCTACCTTTAGTTTATTTGGAGCGAGTTGAGAAGGAAGGCGCAAGGTCTCGAGATTGTGGCTATGGCGCACTCGCCGCGGCTGCGGCGCCTCTGGCAATCGGATGGCTCCTCCTGCTCCTCCCGCCGCTGCATTGCGCAGGAATTCGCGATCCAGGGCCGGTCAAAGGGCTTGTGATCGCGGTCAGCAGCGGAGATCTGCGAAATCCCATGGTCTGGGGCCGGAGGAGCGCCAGGGAATCGGTAAGCGTGCTAGGATTTCGGGGAGCCCGGTCTTAGAAAGCGAGCTAGGGAAGGAGGAGTAGAAAGAACAAGAACGAGGGAGCTATTTCCATGGCAACGGCCATCGCAATGGACATAGACGAGTGCGAGGCGGCGGTCAAGGCCAAGACGGCGGCACCGCTGTCGATCAACAAGTCGTCGGGGAGCAAAATCTCCAAGAGTTCATCGTCGTCGATGAGGCGGCCGATGCTCCAGCCCTCCAAGCCGCTGCCCACTTCCAAGGTCTATAACACGGACCCCATGAGCTTCCGAGAGCTGGTCCAGCAGCTCACGGGGAATAGTTCCACTGGAACTAGTGGCGGTGGTGGCGGTGGTAGTGATGTCGGCGGTGGCGGCGGAGGAGGAGGAGGAGGATCTCTCCAGCAGCAAACTTCCACTGGGTTCTCCGAGCAGGCCATGAATCCAGGGATGATGGGAGTTTCTTCGCAGCAGCAATACCATCACCACCACTACCAACAGCAGCAGCAACATCAGCAGCAGCCAAGCTTGGTGGTGGTGTCGGATCCAGCGGCGCTTGTTTCTAGCCCAGGAACTGGAGGAGGAGTTCTTTCTCCTCACTCGAGCGCCAGGCCGGTCAACAGCCGGTTACAAAGGATGGCACCTCCGCCGCTACGTCCCACATTCTCGATCTCCCCGTTCGCCCACAAGCTGGCGCAGCACCAGCAGCAGCACCAGCAGCAGCAGCTTAGCGGGCCTTCCAGCGGAGAAATTCACGCCACCACCACCGGCCACTCCGCCGCCACCTCCAACGTCGTTTCGTCCGAGAACTTGACGTCCCCCGGAGCCCAGCCGCTGTCGCCGCTCTCCAACAAGCGCGTGTCGACAATGCCGCTGCTCTCCTTCTCGCCGCTGCCCGTGCTCTCGCCCAGCGACACCGCCTGGGCCAGCTTCGAGTCGCCCAACACCGCCGCCATGAAGCAGCTCGCGCAGTCGATCATCGATGGCAGCAGCAAGGGGAGTGGCTTTGCCGGGAGCCGCTTCCCGTGGTCGCCGACGTTCCAAGGCTGCCTCGGCCTCCCCAGCCCGGGTCTCCCGGTGCCCGAGCTCTTCCCGGAAGTCAAGATGATCGACTCCCCCGAGAACGCCAGGAAGACTGCCGCCACCGCCGCCTCCTCCACCGGCAACGACTTCAGTTTCCCAGAGATTCGAGAGAGTTGACAGTGGCGCCGGCATTGACGGATCGAGGATTCGGAGCTACGACTCTGTTGATCGAGGAGGAGCTCCGTTGGGCGATCAAGAAGCAGCTAAGTTTGTCACACTGGTGGTTCTTTACGTACATACGACGATGTTTTGATGGTTTTGGGATTGAAGGTGGCGGTGCTTGGTGGTGGTGTCCTTGGGGGAGAAGCTCTTCAGGGATTTGGCCGGCGCCGGGCTCTCTTTTTTTTGATTCGCAAGAGAGAGCTTGGAGCTCGCCGGTCATCAAGGAAAAGAGAAAGCATTGTATATTCGTTCGAGTCAGTTTGTCGGGTCAGTCTTTCCTTTGGTATTTTCTTCCTTTTGTGGAAGAAAGCTTCTTCGTCGTCGTCTTGCTGGAATCGGATAACTACGCTCTTTTTTCTTTGCTCGAAATGACGAATAAAAGAGAGGAATTTAAAGCTGCGAGTGAGGAGACTTCCACACCGAGTGGTTTTAAGGCGCGTGAAAGGAAGGAAATGAAAAACATTCTTCCACCCTCACTTTCGCTGAGGAAAGTGATTCGTGAAATCTTCGTACGGAAGACAATGGGCTGAATGAATCATCAAGATCCAAGTACTAGTCATCTCAAGAACCTTTGTCCTCTCGTCACGCAAAGATTGGGTGGAAAACTTCTCTCGAGTGTTGTGTTGTACCGCATTTGAAGTTGAACGTACAAATCTTGCAAATCCACCGAAACCAAAAAAAAAAAAAAAAGTATCCAAAACGTGAGAGGTACCTCAAGGCAAGTAAAACGATTGTGATGTTATTTCACATATAAGTTGCTTCCTGGGATATATCCGTCCAGGCACAAGTCGTTCTCAAAAAAACCATGCTCTTGCTCCTGGAGTAGAAACAAAACATGAAAACCATCGCATGGAAAGAGAGAAAGGAGAAGAACATCCAGACCTGTTTGTAGGGTTGTAAGCCGACTAGCTCATCCTGCGCGTGGTGCGCTTGCGGGAACTGATTCGGCGCGGAGTCGTATTCCTCCTGCTTCACTTTGAAAGAGCCAGAGCTGTTTGCGATGATCCGGGGGCAATTCATCATTCCCAGATACTCGTGACCATCCCCAGTCCCCGAGCTGCTGTATGGAACTAGAGTGTCGTGGATGAACTCTTGCGATCCCTGCTGCTCTTGCTGCTGCTGTCCCTGCCAGCTTATTTGGCTCGCTATCCCAAATGCTGCCGACGAGCCTCCCTCCCAGCTGCCTAGAGAGTCGCCCTCCTCGCACTTAACTATGCCAGTGTTCATGCCTGGAATGTTTGGCTTTGCCAAACCGCTGTTCATCAAAACCGAGATCCCGTCCCCTGTTGCAGACGCGACAATGCTTCCACCGAAGCCCCTGCCGATGATACCATCGTCCAAGGTGGTGCCTCGCGCGCCGATGTCGCCAGTGTCTTTGCTGTAATGTGAATAGTCTATGTAGCTGTCTTGCTTTTGGTTGTAAGGCTGAAGAAGTTGTATCTGTGTGTGCTGCTGTTGCTGTTGCTGAATTATTTGCTCTGTCAAAGGATTGGACTGCGAAGCCGAAGTCGCGAGGATTCCTTCTTGCACGGGTCTCATCTGTGGAACCTGTGATTGTTGGAGCTGCTCCATATCACCGACACCCAGCAAAAGGCCTCTTTGGTTGTTTGGTGGGATGCTGCGGGGCCGGACGACGAGGACTGGTGGCTCGACAACACCGTTTGTAGCTGCTGGATCATTGGACGAGCAAAGCGTCCGGAGGTAGGCGGAGCGAAGAGCCGCCAGAGCTTGAGAAGATCCTGGCGTGATGATGGGATGAGGTTGCAAGTTGTCGATTGCGTTGTAAGACGGGTCCGAGCCGAGCGGCATGCTCATTGTGACGGCATTTTGCTGTTGTGCCACGCTCAGCCGCTTCAAATAGAGTCTGTACTTCTGCGGTAGGAAGAGTCACTCAAGGAAAAATATAAAACCGCGGAAGAGAGTGAGGGCTCACCTGGAGATGGCTAGCAACATTCTCCCTCGTCAGGCCTTGAACATTCATCAGTTCCAAGATCCTCTTAGGCACAGCTTCTATCAACAATACGGGGTTTAGAACAAGACAAGGAAACCAAAAACAAAAAAATATGTACGTACTGTCTATTCCTAGTTGATTGACAGCCGTGACGAACTGTTGATGCAACTCCACGGACCAGACCACCCTTGGCTTTTTAAGCGTGTTCGAGTCGTCCATGTCGAGCTCAAACTCCTCGTCATCTTCTTTTATTTCTTTCCGCTTCTTAGAGCCTGCCGCTGCAGCAGATCCTGCCGCTGGCATCGAATCTCCCTCGTCAGGCTTCCGCTTCTGTCTGTCATGGTCGGCACCGTCAGCGTCCTTGAGGATGTTCCTCTTCCTCCGAAAGACATGTTGCCAGATGTTTTTGAGCTCTTTGATCCGGATTGGTTTGAGAAGGTAATCGCACGCACCATGTATAATCCCTTTCATGACGAGGCTCGTCTCGCCATTCGCAGACATCACTGCGGAGCAAAGCCAAAACACGTAAGAACTTTTAAAGGCAAAAGCCAAACTTACTTATGACCGGAAGATCCATCTCAAGCCCAACAAGCTCAAGAAGCTTGAACCCGTCCATGTCCGGCATGCAGACATCACTAAGTACCACATCGAAGCGCTCCTTGTTTTCTCTAAGCATCGCAAGTGCCAGGCGTGCCATGCCGCAAGTGGTCACTACAGTGAGCAGAGCACAAGAAAAAGCAAAGCCAGTGTAAGATAGAAAGCGAAAGGAAGAAAAAAAAGTTCGAACGTACCATCGTAGGCGCAACGAAGCAGCATCTTCTTAAGAATTGCTAGGCAAGTTCTGTCGTCATCCACAACCAACACTCGCAATCCGGCCGGAAATTGGTCACCCATGTCCCTTTCGCTCGCTTGAATTCGCATACAAAAAATCCCAAGAGCTCGATGACGACGATCTTCTCTTCTACAGCGTCGCTGCGCGAATGTGTGTCCACCAACACGAAGATTTGGCAAGGTTTTCCCCCATCCCCAGTGATTTTGATAAAGAACTTCACCTTCCCTTTCCCTGCATGGATTTCCAACTATCGCTGCTACCGCTAGCCATCGTCAAGCCCCAGGAGCCGAGAATGCTACCTCCGCGGAGCTCTAAAACCCCCTCCGGATCACGCACGGCAGACTACCTCAAACCTGGTGGAATCACGCGCTGGATCTGCGGCGCCGCGGCCGAGAGCGCGCGGCATTCGCATTGGCACGGCATCGATCGCCGCCGACCTCCACCCCGTCGCGCCCTTGCCCACCCGCCCGCTGGACGCCATAGCCGGGACGAGGATATACTATAGCATGATTATGAGGCATTCAACTGAAATGGAGTGGGGCCATGGCGTCCGGCACATGATAAGCCGTTATGACATGCCGAGGGGGCAAGATGCTGACTGGACAGACCACATAAGCTCCACGTCACTCTATGCTTTTTTGGCCTTGTACGGTAGCTAGAGTACGGAATTTTAATTCTACACAGCTTTTAGGGTTCTAGGGGAAGTGTGTGTTTGAATTTAATTTGGGAGCTCCGGGCGATGGAGCCGGATCATCCATGGAGGGCGGAGTACGCCAAATCATCGCGCGCGGCCTGCGGCGCCTGCCACGAAAAGATCGACAAGGATGAGCTGCGCCTTGGGAGGATGGTTGAATCGCCAAAATTTGACGGATGGATCCCTGTAAGTGCTTGTTCTTGGTTTTTTCTAGCTCATCCTTGGAGAATGTAGGTTTGGCACCACTACTCATGCATCGCGGTGAAGAAGAACACCATCTCTTCGTACGTTTGTTTTTTAGATTGCGGAAAGGTTTGAGCTTTCTTTCTCCTTTTTTCTTTTGGATTGCTCAGGATAGAGGATGTGGACGGATTCGATAACTTGCGCTGGGGAGATCAAAAGAAACTGCGGAAGTACATCGAAGGTGATGAAGCAGGAGCGCTGGAAGATAATGAGGAAGAAATCGAGGAGGCGGCAGCGCCTGCGGAGGATTTGCCGAGTAAGAGCAAGAAGAAAGGAAAGAAAGAGAAAGGGAAACAGAAGACAGAACAAGAAGAGGAGACATCGAGCTTTGAACACACCATCGAGATTGCCAAGGCTTCTCGAGCGATATGCCGAGTTTGCAAGGAGAAGCTAGTAAAAGGAGAGGTAAGCTTTTGTAGATGCTCCTTGGCAACGCTAAATTTGTGCAGTGCTGTGTGTAGGCTCGCATTTCCACTGTGGAGAATGAGAAGTACAGGAGTCCGACCTTCAGGCATGCCAAGTGCTTCGTGGAATTTTTTGCCTGGGATCAGCCCATCGAGGAGCTTGACGGATGGGACACGCTTGATGAGTCGGAGCAGAAGGTCGTTCACGACGCTGTTGAGCCTTTCCTAAAACCCACACAAGGTAGCTTCTTGTTTCAACTTTCGTTTTAGTGTTTAAGACCAGTCTTAACAGAAAACAAGGAAGAAATCAAAGAAGAGAAGGAAGAGGAACAGGAGAAGCAACAGGAAGAGAAGAAGGCAAAGCGGCAGTCGGAAGCGTCCGGTGATGATCAAAGCTCAAAGAAGAAGAAGCAAAAAGTGTCAGACGACTTTGAGAAGAAAATGGAGCAACAGACAAAGGCACTCTGGAGTCTTCAGGATGACTTGCAAAGGAACGTCTCACTCGATGAAATGAAAGAGATGCTCGAGATCAACAACGGAGCCATGTCTAAATCGGACAAAGAGATTCGCGAGCGCTGGTACGTCTTAGACGGCATCGAGTTGATTTAACTTTGCGCTTCTTGCAGTGCCGATGGGATGATGTTTGGACCTTTCAAACCTTGTCCGCAGTGTGGCGGCCCTCTGCTTTACTCAGGAGGAATGTACTCCTGCCAAGGCCACCTTTCAGAGTGGAGCAGATGTAACTTCAAGACATCAGAAGTCCAGCGTCAAGCGAAATGGAATATTCCCAAAGGCTCGACGAATCCATTCCTCAGACAAGCTAGTCTATTTTGTTTATGTTTAAGTTGTATTGTGTTCTGACCTCGTGTTTTACCGCAGTGGAACAAAACCCAGAAGACACCAAAAGAACCACGGCTGCTGAGGCCGTCTACTAAAAATCTCAATTCTGAAGCGCATTTCCTCCGGGGACTTCATGTTTTCTTTTTCGGAGCCATGCAGGAAAAAACTCAGGTTTGTACTTTTTCTGGTCAACATTTTCCTGAAAATGCTAGTAATGCAGGATGAGTGGAAGGCACTCATAGAAGAGGCAAAAGGTGTTGTCCACAAGACCATGGATCCAGGTGAGGCATAAGTTTCAACTGAGGTGAGGTGTTTGAAGTACTAACGCTCATCTAATCGCGTAGGCGTCACCGCTATAATTTCTACCGAAGCGGAATTTTTTAAGGACGAAAGCCTAAGGTGCGCAAGGGTTGGAAGATTGGAATCTTACAAGTTTAACTCGCAGACAACTCGGAATTCCGGCTGTGGCGGAGAGATATTTAACGGAATGCATGAAGATGAAAAAGCGATTGCCGCTCAAAGACTATCGACTTGAATCTTCGCGTACGAGTACTGCAATGACGAAAGTGAAAGTTAAAGGTCGGAGTGCCGTGCATGAAGACTCCGAAATGCAAGATAAAGGCCACGTTTTGGAATCCGGGAGCGTGATATATTCTGTGACTTTGAATAAGTCTGACATCTCGACTGGAAGAAACAGGTGCATCTTTCTATGTTTTGTGATGATCCTGACTTGAGATATGACTTTACAGTTGTTACGTGCTCCAAATTATCGAAGAAGACAAGGGAAATGCTTGCTATGTCTTTCGAAAATGGGGTCGTGTTGCTTCTGAGAGGGGGCACACGAAACTGGAGGCTTTCTCAAAACAAGGGGCCATAGAAGAGTTCGAGAAGGGATTTCTGGATAAGACGGGGAATGAATGGCACTCATGGGTGCGAAAGACGGGGTTTCAGAAAGTCCCAGGAAAATATTATCCCGTAGAAATCGTAAGAACCTGTCTTCTCTCTCTCTCTCTCTCTCTCTCCGTTTTTGATTTAGCTCGTGTGTTGCAGGACTATGGAGCTGATGAAGCACCTCAGAAAGAGTTAGCTACTGTTTCTGGATCAAAGAGCAACCTTCATCCGAGGGTTGTCAGCTTGATGAAGATGCTCTTTGACATTGAGACATACAAGTAAGTCTTCTGCTTTTACTCGTGGTTTTTTTAGTTACTGTGTTTGCTCTTTGAAGGTCCGCCATGTTGGAGTTCGAAATTAATCCAAATGAAATGCCACTTGGGAAACTGACCAAAGCACACATTGCAAAGGGTACGATTGTGGTGTTCGTAGATTTCTTATCTATTGTTTCGTTCAGGATTTGATGTGCTCACCCGTATACAAAACGTGTTAAAGCGAGAGCAACAAGATCCTCGGCGTCAAGTAGAACTTATTGACGGAAGCAACCAATTCAACACTCTGATCCCTTCGACTCACCCGACTCTAATAGACGACGAGGATGTTCTGAAAACGAAGGTGAGCTTAACCATCAAACACCGGAGCTTAAAGCTAAACTCTTTTCGTTTGCAGATTCAAATGCTTGAGGCATTGAGGGACATTGAAATTGCGTCGCAGCTCATTAAGTCTGCGGATGAAGATGATGAGTCGGATCCACTGGACGTGCATTACAAGAAGCTCAAGTGCGCTGTTTCGCCAGTTCCACATGATAGCCCCGAGTTTGAGCTCGTTAAGAACTACCTGGAAAGGACTCACGCACCAACTCATACGGTATGGACTTCACTTTCTGTCTCGACTATCGCCTGATAAATGTTGTTTTTGTAGGAATGGGGACTGGAAGTCGAGGACGTTTTTGTTGTCAGTAGAGATGGAGAGCACGATCTGTACGCTCCAATGAAATCAACGCTTAAGAATCGTATGCTGCTATGGCACGGTACGTTTGTCCTCAATGAGGCATTGTCTTGACGGCTCCTGTTTGTGATGAAAAGGTTCACGCACTACAAACTTCGTGGGAATTTTGAGCCAAGGCTTACGGATAGCCCCTCCTGAAGCACCGGCTACTGGCTATATGGTACACTGTCTAGTATTCCAAACCGACTCATTTAGCTCTTATCTGTCACGTTTTTGTAGTTTGGCAAAGGTGTGTACTTTGCGGACCTGGTGAGTAAGAGCGCGCAGTACTGCTTCACGAACAGGTCCAATCCAGTGGGGCTGATGCTACTGTCCGAGGTTGCTCTTGGAGACATTAAAGAGTATACACACGCACAGGTATATATATTTATTCAAGCAACAGGCTCTGCGGAAAGCTTCTCTAACGCCCCGCTTTCAATCAGTACATGGAGAAGCCTCCGGCTGGATACATGGCCACGAAAGGAGTCGGGAGGACAATGCCCGATCCCAGCGAATTCAAGGAGTTTGACGATGGAGTCGTTGTCCCGTGCGGGCGTCCTGTGCCGTCTCAAGTTCGCAGCGACTTGCTGTACAACGAGTTCATTGTGTACAGTACCTCACAGGTTTGTAGTGTTTCTTAGCGCTTCTTCTGTGGGTGCTTAAATTCTTTCCTTGTCGTTGTGCAGATCCAGCTAAGGTTCCTGCTAAAGGTCCGGTTTAAGTACAAGAGGTGAAACACTGTAGATAGTCACGATCATTTTTTGTTATATATGCCTCGTTTGCGTTAAGGATGTTCGCTTCTCGTGTTTTAAGTTCAAGGCTCATTGATTGAGTGAGTGTGATCCTACTGTGGTAGTGGCTACGTCACGATGAGCTGATGATCTCTGTTCTCTTCTTTTACGGTCTTTTGCTCTTTGGTATTTGCGGCTCGGGAGTTTGGCATTCATTCACTGCAAGCGCACAGTTAATAAAACGATGAAAGATTTGCTCACCCCAGGGGATCAGAACATCATGATGTAACCAAAGTGTCGTTTAGAAAAGACAGGCGCTCTGTGCTCATGAACCTCTCCTCTGCGGGAAGAACAGTTCTTGTCCTGCAATTAGTGATGACTATAATTTGCTCCAATCCATATATCGCCCCACCATAGATTCCACCAAGCCCTGATGTTAAGAAGAACAAGTTTTGCGATACTTGATTGAGGAAAGACAATATATATGTTCTGAAGCATGCGTTCCTGGGAAAGAACAGGGGGGAATTTTTGAGCGTCTCACTGCATGTCTCTCTTTAACAGGCAATGCAAAGACACGGGCTTGAAGCTTCTGGACAGTATAACTCGGGGAGAATTGACTGGGAAAACCGGGTCGAATAGATAAAATTAATCACATACAATAACTGCCACCAAATGATCTCTGCTCGGATCATGAGCCCCGTGTTTTGCTGTGTGGTGATCGACTTTCTCCATTAAATTTCATGGCCTGCGATTGCTTCAGCTCTTGATCTTGACTTTGTCCAGAGGGAGATCCTGGAGGCTTTCACGTAAAGATGCCGCATACAGTACTAATCTGAGCGCATCCTCTCCACAAGGGTTCTGAATGAAGGAGATGTTTGTGGCGCTGGAGTTCGCTGCATACCATTCACCGCAAGCAAAACATACAATGAAAGATCATATCAGAAACAGAAACAGAACACGAGTTAACCAAAGTGATGTTAAACAAAATCTTGTTAACAGACTTACAACATTTCAGCCACTCTGTGCTCATCAACCTCTCCTCTGCGAAGATCAACCAAACTCCTACAATTATAATTTCAATCCTTGAAGACTTCCAAAAGAGGGATTTTCGGGCCTCCGGCAAAGGCATTATTCTGGAGTGTGATGACTATTATAATTTTGCTCTCATCCATATATCGCCCCACCAACCTGATGTTTAAAGGAACAATTTATTGCATTCAGATTCAAGAAGGAAAAAAGAGTTTGAAACTCACCACCTCATCTATACGGGTCTGTAGCACACATAAAAAGGCGTCGTCATAGTTGAGGAAATACCACATTTGTTCTTAAGCAATCGCTGCATCGTCTTGTACGCGTTCCTGGGAAATAACAAGGGTTCAGATCTGAACAGAAAAACGAGAGACTACCTGGTGGGAATCGTACAATATACTCTCTTCGGTCTCGGGAACTATCGAGCGTCTCATTGCCATGCCCCTCTATGTCTCACGCTTGCACGAATACAAATATACGGGCTTGAAACTTCTGGCCAGTATAACTCGGGACTCACTACCCCGCAGTATAAATCTGGTATACTGGTACACTTTAAACTCCCTCCAGTCAAAAGATAGCATCTTATCATAAAGTTCGCGATCCATCCTCGGGTAACATCAAAAACATACAAAGAGATGAGATGCCAAATCTTTGGAACGCATCCTCCAGAGCGGGCTTGATGTCACATGGCTTAAAATCCGTTCCAAGAGCCTCGGGCCATACCGTGGAGACATTCAAAAAGACCGCTCGACAACCCTAAGCAAATAGCCGTTGACCGTTTTGACCAGCGTTGACTAAGGAGCTCAAACTTTCATGCTGGTTGTGGTTTTCTAGATCGAAGCATCATGGTTGAATTGATAGAATCAATTACATACAAAATGTGTACCTGCATAGGGCTGGAGCGAAGCAGCGTCACCTTGCTCCGCCTTGGGCCTCATTCCAAACTGCTGCATCCTGCTCGATGGCCCCGCTTGCCTCGCAAACTGCGCAATCTGGTCTTGCATCGACGTCGCCGATATCCCCAGATTCCCGTGTTGCTGCTGCTGCAGAGCTTGAAATTGCAAACTGGAAGCACCGCCACCGCCGCCACCACCACTGCCGCCGCCGCCACCGTCAAGCCCACCACCACCGCCGCCACCGCCACCACTGTTCTTGGCGGCCGGCACGTCGTGGTTGTGCTTCCCCTCGTACGTCGTGATGACGGATTTTGGATCGTTTGACGCCCGCTCGACGTGCTTCCGTACGGGGCACCCGACGTTCGTGCATTTGTAATAGCTCCTGCCAAGAACAAGAAAGCTTGTTCATATTAGAAGCAAGAGAAAGCACCAAGAGAACTTCGAATGGAGAAGAAAACGAACCTCGGATATGGATTCCCCTTGACGATCTTCTGCCCATACTTTCTCCACCGATAGCCATCGTCGAGGATGTCGATCTCGCTGGGCGTTTGCACCACCACCCGGGGCTCGCGGATCGTCCGCTGGACGGCCGCCGCCTCCCTCGCTCCACCGCCGCTATCAATCCTCCTGCAGTTGCATCACGAAGTTGTGAGAAACGCAAGCAAGAGAGACTTTTGTTCCACCTTCTCTTGGACTCGCTCTCGACGTCGTCATCGCCACCGTCCTCGTTCTTGGCCTGCTGCCCGTCGTCCTCGCCTGACGAGAGCGGTGACGATGGATCATCCGAGTTCCTGGCGGCAGCGGCGCTAGCGTAGAGATCCTCCGGGCTTCGATCGTCGCCGAGAAGAGAAGACGATGATCCGGCTCCGGCTCCACCTCCCCTCCGGCTCTTTTGCGGCCGCGGGTGATTGTGCTCGCCCTTGTACACGATCTCGGTCACCTGTCCGTCCTGCGACCGCTCCACTTTCTTCTTCACGGGGCAGCCCGAGCTGGTGCATTTGTAGTAGCTGCGCGGGAACTCGCTCCCCTTGACTTGCTTCTGCCCATACTTTCTCCAGTTGAATCCATCCTCGGATGGCCGCTCCACGAAAACTTGCTGTTGCTGCTGCTGCTGCTGTTGGGGCTCTGGCCGGCTCTCGGATGGAGCTGGAGCCGCCGCCCTCGAGCGAGATGGTTGAAACTCCGCCGCCGGGATCATCGTCTGGGCTCCCAGCGGCACCGCCATGGGCGCCGCTTGCGAGCGGTGGAATTCGAAAGGCAGCTGCCAAAGGAAGGATCAAACAATCCAGTGAGCGAGTGATCCAAAACTCTAGAACACAAAGCTCCAGCGGAGTCAAAAGAAAATCTAGCTATAAAAAGGGAGGAGCACACGGTCAAGGCGGTCAGTCAAGGAGGGGAGTGTGCCAGTCAACAAACCAAGCCCGGGAGGAACCAGTCAAGCAAAGAAACTTACCCCGGGGAAGGATTGCGACGAAGAATCCGAGCCCTGCCTCGCAATTGGCTTGAACACAAACTCGCTGGAAGGATTGCTCTCCACCTTGGCCTCCGGCGAGCGATGGTTTTGCATCCTGGAGCCGCCGCCATCGAAGACCGGCGGGGGCATGAGGAAGGATCCGGTCGTGGGCGATGGCTCCGCCTGGAGGAAGAGAGATTGGAGATGAGAAACGAGCAAACAAGGCAAGCATTTCGATCGAGAGATCATACCTGGCTGCTCGCGAAGAGCGGCGAATCGAAGAGCGTGGTGGGGCTGATCCCGGGGGGAATTGTGAAGGGGGAGGAGGAGGCGGCGATGTCCAGAGGGGCCACTGCCGATCTATCGCCCGCCTCCATCTCCCTCGCCGCCAATCTCTCCGCGAAGCTGCCGCTGCCGTTGCCGCCGCTCGAGCCCCTCGCGATGTGCTGTTGCTGCTGCTGGCCATGGCCGCCCAGATCCTGCGAGGAGCCCAAGAGATTGGAGTGAGCCTTGTTCTCATTGTCCGGATCGATGAGGAAGCTCGCGGCCAGCGTCATGGGGCTGGGGCTCGCATCCGGCGCCTTGAAGAAGAAAGAAGAGGCCCCGGCGGAGGCGCTCGCTCCACCGCCAGGCGCCCGAGGAGGCAGCATTAGCAGCGGCCTGATCGAGGCCATGGGTCTCTTGACACTCCCTCCCTGATCGCTACTGCTAAACTCCATAGCCACCCAGAGCTCTTATCGCTCCAGCCCGGATCGAGCGCGCGTCCAATTCCAAATCCAGCGCCGACCCAAGAGACCCAATCCGCCCAATTCCCGACCCAGATCGCTCGCTGCTCCTCCTCTCGCCACAATCCCTGGCGATGATACACCGATCGCCGACTCACGATTCCGATCGCTGTCGCACGCCTTCATTCGCTCATTGATTCGCCAAGGGGGTGAAAGAAGTCGTGCGCGACGCGAACATTCAAGGGAGATCGAAAGAGCCCATCCCTATCTCCGCTCCTCTTCTCTCTCTCTCTCTTCTTCCTCGCTGCTGTGACGCATCAAAACGAAGTCCGCCAGCCAGATGGCTAACACTACCACACAACACACACACCCTACTTCAAAACCACTGCCCCACTTACATTTTTTTCCATGTTTTTTTATGTGCTCGAGCGTTGAAATCTCAAGTGGGGCTAGCAGCCAGCGATCATCCAATCGCCTTTATATAATCGCCCATTCTTCCTTCCCCCATTCAACAGCGACGGCTAACTATTTCTCCCCCCATTTAAAAACCGCTAAAGGGTATAAAATATAGCTTAGATTAAAGGTTTAAAACCCGCTTAACAATACAAAATAGGGCAATTTGGAGAAGTGGCCCCTTGGAACTTTAAATGCCAAGGTTGGAGTTTGGGAGAGCAAGAGATGCCAGATCTTAGCTGAATCTCCAAGTAGCAGTAGCTTATCATCACCAAGCTCTAGGATATCTGATCGGATCATCGCCATTTCGCAAACCAAAGCTTTGGTGTTTCAATGCATCAGCTTTTGCTTTTGTAAGGCTTTTCTTTGGCCACCTTCTTTTCTAGCTTTGCAGGAAAACGTGATCCGGCCCCAGATTCCTTGCAAGAAATTCTGGGCTGGGGGATTTACTTTCCTCTCCCTGTTTGGATATTCTTAGAATAAGGCAGTGGCCCAGTATAGCAAGAAATTCCAGGCCATGATACACACTCAATGGCCCAGTGATGATCACTGGAATAATTTCTTTGGGACACGTGGCAGGCGGCGGGCGTTTTTTCGGCGGGCCATGCTCTCGTCGTGACCGCATATTCGGCTTTTTGAATGCGCTCGCGGGAATATCCGACGGAGGTGCTGCTTCCAGGCAGCTTCGCGACGGGCGCCACGTGCCACTGCTTGGAAGCTTCCTGGACGACCGCCGCGATGGTGTCCACGGAGACGATCATGAGGTCGCGCAAGGATCGTGGGTGGAAAGAGGAAAAGAAAACGTAATGTCAAGCACGAGATTGACATGACATGGTGTCATGCGCGCCACCCTCGGAGGATTTTGGGTCGGCTCTCAAGCGCTGCTGCGAATCCAAGGACTTGGCGCTTGGCCGCCGGCTCCACTCTCGGATCGATCGAGCTGGGCTTGCCACCAGCGACACATTTCTCGCCAATCTCCTCATCCAGATGTATGGCAAGTGCGGGAGGAGCGAAGACGCGCGCCGTGTCTTCCACCAGATCCACAGGCCCAATGTTTTTTCCTGGAACTTTATCATAGCAGCATATGCCCAGAATGGGCATCTGGAGCAGGCGAAGCTACACTTTGATCGGATGCCCTGTCGGAATTTTGTTTCGTGGTGCGCGTTGATCTCGGGCTACGCTTGCAATGGCGAAGTCGAAGGGGCGAAAGCGCTACTGGATCGAATGCCCTCCTGGAACCCAATCGCTTGGACTGCCGTGATGCGCGCGCGCGCCCAGTCCGGGGATTTGCGTGGCGCTCGGCTGATGTTTGACGAGATGCCCGAGAGGGATTTGATCTCGCGCAACTGCATGATATCTGCTTATGCCGAGGGTGGCGATTTCGATCAAGCGAAGCTACTGTTTGATGATATGCCCGAGTGGGACGTTGTGTCTTTCACTGCGATGATCAGAGCATACACACAAGGCCACTTAGTAGATCAAGCAAAAGCGTTTTTTGATACCCTACCCCAGAAAAACACCGTGTCTTGGAATTCCCTTCTCCATGCTTATGCCCAAGCGGGGCATCTAGCAGAGGCGTGGCAAGTGTTCGAATCCATTCCAGAGAAAAACCTCACGTCATGGACCACGATGATCGCAGCGTGTTGCACCAACGGCCAGATTGACGCGGCGGCGGATCTCTACCGTCGGATGCCCGCGCGGGACGTGGTGTCGTCGGCGACAGTGATCGCGGCGGCAGGGGACCACGCGACCGCGACGCGGATATTCCGCGCGATGCCCCTCGTGGACGAGGTAGCATGCACGGCCATGATCGCGGCGATGTCGCAGGGTGGCGACCTCGAGGGCGCCAAGGCCCTGTTCGACAAAATGCCGGAGCGCCACCTGGTGACGTGGAATGCCATGCTGGCAGCTTTCGCGGACAGCGGCCACGTGGAGGGCGCCAAGTCGCTGTTTGACAGTATGCCGCGCCGGGACATGGTGACGTGGGCGACGATGCTGTCGGCCTTCGCGCAGCAGCACGGGCGATTCTTCGACAGCGCCAAGCGGTGCTTCGATTTGATGCCCGAGTGGAACACCGTGGCGTGGAACTCGATGATCCAGGCGCTGGCGGCGCGGCTCGACACCGCAGCAGCGCGGGCGATCTTCGATGGGGCGGTGCCGGAGCACGACGTGGTGATGATCAACGCAATGATCGCCGCCCACGGCGAGAATGGGGAGCTGGGCGACGCGCGCGAGCTCTTCGATTCCATGCCGGAGCGCACGATCATCTCCTGGAACTCGATCGTCCAGGCGTGCGTGATCGACGGCGATGTTCACGGCGCGGTGGAGCTGGTCGAGCGGATGCCCAGGCGAGACGTGCTGACGTGGACGGCCCTGATAAACCTCCACTCTCGGGCCTCGAACCTGGAGCTGGCCAAGAGCATCTTCGACCAGATGCCGGAGCACGACGTCGTGGCCTGTACGGCTCTGCTCATGGGGTTTGCACGGAATGGCGACCTGGAGGGGACGAAGAGGGTGTACGACACGATGCTGTGCAAGAACTCCGTGACAACGCTGGCGATGGTGGTGGCGTACGGGCAGTTCTTGGAGCTGGGCGCCGCGAAGCACCTGTTCGATCGAATGCCCAAGGACAATTGCGTGCCATGGAGCGCGATGGTCACCACGTATGCGCGGAATGGATACGTGAGCGAGGCCAAGGCGGTGTTTGACACCATGCCCGATCGCGATCCGGTCTCGTGGTCGGGGATGATCACCGCCGCGGCGCAGTTTGGATCCAGCGGCGAGGCGCTGGGATTGCTGCGATTGATGGGCATGGAAGCGGCCTTGCCAAACGAGGTGCTCTTCCTGAGCCTCCTCTTCGTTTGCAGCCACTTGGGGCGCGTCAAGGAGGCGCGGGAGTTCTTCCGGGTGATGAGTGAGCACGGATTGGCGGCGTGGCGCGAGCATTTCTCGTGCTTGATCGCTGTTCTAGGCCGCGCCGGGGAATTGGCCGCCGCCGAGGAGCTGATTGAAAGAATGCCCTTTGTGCCCAACCAAGCCTCGTGGAGCGCACTGCTCAATGCGTGCCGGATCCACAGGGATGTGGAGCGCGGGGCGCGAGCGACGCAGCGAGCCCTAGAACAGGATCCCGCCAGCGCGGGAACTTACGTCCTGCTCGCAAACACGTTTTTGCCGCGCTAGAGCCCTAGATTTCGAAAGAGCCCTACATTTTCGAATATGCCGGCGCCATGGCATCCGAATATCCGCCTTGACCTCTCGATTTATTTTTGCCCTAGGGAGGAAGCGCGCAGCAATGGCGGAGGCGACTGCAACGCTAGGGTTCTTCGCCGGCGGCGCGATTCCAGCGGCGGCAGAGGGAGCGGAGGCCTCTCCCAACAACAGCAGCGATTACGACAGCGATGTGAGCGAGGGTACGCTGGCATTGGCGCTGCGGCGCCGCGAGGCGAGCGACGAGGACGATGAGGAGGACGAGGAAGAAGCTGGGGCTGGGGATGGGGCTTGGCTGGATGAGGAGGAGGCCGAAGAGTTCATTGACGAGTCGTTCGATGGGCGCCAGCAGCTGGGTAAGGATGGGAATGACTTGGCCCGCAAGGATTCTGGCGAAGGAGGCGCGGCGGGCGATGAGAAGAAGGAGGCTGAGCCATTTATGGTTCCCACGAATGGCGCATTCTACATGCATGACGATCGATTCCGGGACAGTGGTGGAGCGAGACCCAGGTCTGTGATGGTTTCTCCTTTTTTATCGAGCTTGTCTCTAGAAATCTTTTTATTTAGGCGTGGAATGGGGGGAAGGAGGCTCTGGGAGGCGAAAGATGAGAAGCCTTGGGTCCATGACATGTTCGAGGAGCTTACACTGGGAGCACAAGAGGTTGGTTTTCTAGTTTCTTCTCCTTCCGGAATGAGCTCTGGTTTATGTCAGAACTTACGGCGAAGAGGAAGAGGCCAAGGCCGCGGAAGAGGAAGAGGCCGAGGCCGTGGAAGAGGCCGGCTTGCCAATCCCACCGAGGAGAACGGCCCTGTGCTTACGCAGCGCGTCTCTGTGAAAGGCCGAGGAGCAAAGAAGGACCACGAAGACGCGGCTCCTCTTGCTAACAAGTAGTGGTGGCACTCTCTTCCTCTGGTGTTTTGGTTTTCCTGCTTGCCTGACGCATTCATATCGAGTGTAAGCCTGGTGTGGGATTTTTCTTTTTGCTCTAGCTAAGCAATGAACTCTAAAGGACAACTTCTTTGGAGCTACTGAATATCGGCACTGTTCTGTGTTGTAGGGAGCTGGGCAGTCAGTATGTCGCTAAGAAGCAAGTTGGCGCTTCCAGCCTGAGCTCGTCCTCGCCGCCATTCTTCCCAACCGGGGCGTCAGGGGTGCAAGACGCGGGGCATCAGGAAAGCAGCAAGAGAGTTATCGGAAACGGCCTAAGGAAGCTGACCGCGAGCTCGTCCGTCTTTGTACCGAAGCTCCCCCACGGGAAAACCGACACGGCCGAAGCCTCAAGCTCCTTATTCTCGGCGCAAGCACCCACGTCTTCGAGGCACGCCTCCAAAGCCGCGGACTCGCATTTTTATAAAGGCCGGTCAGTAACAGGATCAGCAGCTGGGAAAGGCAAGGCAGTGGCTCAGTCTCAGGCTTCTACGAGTAGGATAATCCAGCAGCCAGCCCAGGCGCAACACTCTCAGGAGTTTCACTCTTCGACGTCTAGTCTGCGGGGAAATCCTCTCGTCAGTGCGAACGACTCTGGAGCGGCTGTTGGTGGCGGTGGAAGAGGTGGCAGGACTGCTTCGTCTGGAAAGAGTTCCCTCGTGTATGGCGGCGCTCCTGCTCGAGACAACACCTTTTCTCCGCCCCAAGTTTTGAGCCCACGTAAGTTCTATGCGATTTTTTTTGTTGAAGAGACTACTTATCTCCCGGTGTCTTGGCTGATCAGTTCTTCAGTATGGTAACCAGTCTCAAGGAGGGGTGATGGTTCCAAGCATGATGCCACTCTCGGGGCAACCTCTTTATGGATATGGGAATTCCGAGATAGCTTGGTATGCTCTTTTTGTTGTTAGTGTACTCTCAGCTTACATTTTTTTCTCTCTTTGCGATACAGGGTGCCAGTTCTGGCTGGAGGAGGGAATGGGTTAGGCACCGGTTTCATGTCACCTTACATTGCTGTGGACAGCACGTCACCAGGAATGTATTTTGCGCAGCCATCTTCTCAGCCAGTGTTCCAGCCGTCTAGGTAGGATCTTACTCGTTAGGACACGGTGATCTGACGCCAGTGCTTCTTGAGTAGGGAGCATGGATCGAATAACATGTGGAGGCCGCCTTCTGAAGCTTCAGGTAAGCATTCAAGTGCCCGGAGTTGAGAGAGTCTCAGCTTTTATACTCGCTGCGCAGGCTTGCCATCTGAAGAAAGGCAAAATAAACCTCGCAGGTATGCTTTTTGTGCTTGTTGTTCTACGTTTTGTTCAATCGTTTCTGCAGCTCACTGGCGAAAGCGCAGAGCGCATATTGAGGGAAAAGCTTCTCTACTTGTGAAGGCAAAGGATTGATCACGCGCTGGCGGTATCGTCGCGTGTGGTTCCTTGCCTTGTTCATTGCGGTATTATACTTACTGGTAAGCTCCTCTTTCTTTTCTTTCAGGTCTAAGTTTCGTGCTCAGGTAAATACAGTCGATTGCATTCAGTCAAGTTTACGAACTTAATTGGACCCGGAGTTGGAATTTGGGGAAGAACAAACGATTTCTGTAAGAGCAATGAATGAGTGGAGAATTTCACGATATGATTGATATATACATTATATTATATTTGTTCTTTGATTATATGTGGAGTGAAGTAAAAGTCGTTCTTGTGTATCGGTTAGTTTTCCTGTGTTTGTGGTGTTTCACTAGATGTAGGGTTCGTGGCTGGGCGCGCTAGGGCAAGAGGAGGAGAGGAGGTTCCCTGGCGCATGGGGCAGATAATCCAGGAGTACCTGTCGGGCAATCGAATCTACTGTTGCAGCAATTGCCACGCCCACGCCGCCGATCACGAGGAAGTCGTGTCCAAGCAATTCCATGGCCGATACGGTCGCGCCTATCTCTTTAACAAAGTGTAAGTGGGCGATTCTAGTGCATTTTGTTTTGGGTTGGGTTGCATTGCATTGGATTGGAATTGGAAGACTGGATTGATGGATTTTTTCTTTGTTTGTGCCCTTTCTTCTTTGCCCTTTCAGTACTGTTGGATTGACTGAGTGGTAACAGGGTGAATGTGTTTCTTGGGCCCAAGGAGGAGCGCAATCTCATTACGGGCTTACACACGGTGAACGATATCTATTGTATTTGCTGCCAGCAAGTTCTTGGCTGGAAATATGTGAGTCTTTTATCTTTTTTCCTTCTGCTTTTTTTACAAAGCTTGGCGTTTTTTCTCTTTTTTTTGTGGTTTTTTCTTCTTCTTTTTTTTTTTTTTCTCACATGGACTTCCAGGATACAGCCTACGAGGAGAGGGAGAAGTACAAAGAAGGCAAATTTATCATCGAAAAGAAGAAGATGACCAAAGAGAATTGGTAGAGCGATGGCACTTCTCTTTTGTACAGACCGGAGGTAAAGAAAAAGATCCCGAAAAGAAATCACGGCGTCAAGGAAAGTTTGTCGTCAATAAAGGCCTAAAGTTTTGGTTCGTATGAGTTTTTTTTATGGTTGCATCCAAGAAGTCAAGGAAACCTCATGAGCAATCGCGTCAGCTTTGCATAAGACTTGGAAAAGAGTGGTACAAAATGATGACTACTCACAATCTCAAAACAAACACATTTACAAGCTCCACCAACTTGCTAGGGCAAACTTCGTTCCAAGCAGGCTGCTAAATGTATTGCCTAATATCTCCAATTATGGCAATGACATATTAATATGCTGTGTCATGTGACCCAGAACTTTCACACACACACACACGGCGAGCGAGCGAGAAGAGAGAGCTCACTCTTGGGAGCTTGGTTGATAGCAGGGAAATGCGGACGGGATTCTGATCTACTATTGCCGCGAGCCCTTTGTGGATGTGATCCGAGGACATTTCAACGAGGTGGTGGACACAGGTTTGCTGGCGGAAAGATGCCCCAGGCGACCATCGACATGATCATTGCTGAGTACGCCGTTTCTAGAATTTTGTAATATCGTCTTTTTCAGATTGTTTGACAACAACAGGGGGGAAAACATCAGGCAAATCCAGTTCATGGCTTTGGGACTTCCTGAAATGTTTGTGAACGGATAAGGAATGGAGGGAGTACGAGAAGAACAAGTTCATCAAGGGGTGTGTTGGGGTAGCGTCTTCGCCAAAAGCTTACAACCAGGGGTTTACAATGGCACCCTACATAGCTGATCAAACTCTGGGCGACGACGCCTCAGATGACGAAGAATCATCCGGGTCTCAAGCCGTGTTGCTCTGTACAATTGCACAACGAATGGGATCATTCAAGCTGCAGCCTATGCAAGAGCGGGAGTGATTCGCAACGTTCAGAATGGCCATGGACTGCCGGTCTACTTATTGTGTCCGGGTGCGACAAAGTGGTACTATCCAAACTGAATGCCAGTCTCCGGTATCTACGAAAGAACTGCAGTGACAAGAAGTGCAATTTCCCAACACAGAAATATGCGGTTGGCAGACTATGAGATCACCCCGCCCTTTCAGCTTCCACGTTGTTTGGAGGCTGCCCTCATACATGTTGAGATTAATCATTGGGGACACCGTGTTGGAATGGACACCTGAGGAAGTGATGGTTGCGAAGCTGATTCAACAGGAATGATCAGTGATGTATCAAAGAAAGGTGGTGCTCAAACTGAGACTTTGAGGAAGCTCTGGTCTATAGGGGCCCCGGTACAACAAAGCGTTGAATGAGCGTGAGCAGCCTTGGTCGACACACTTGAGCAGGCCGAGCTACTGTCTTCCTTGCTACCTCCAGAAGAAGCCCAGTCACTCTTGCAACATTAACTTGTGCTTTGATGTTGTCAATTTTGCCGTTAAGAGTGAAGTTGGTTCTGTGGAGGTTAAGATGGACGTCGATTCTGTGGAGTTTAAGATGGGTTCTACTAACGTAAAAGAATCCCTTCTAATACCAGTTGTTAGAACTTAATGAAGAATTATCACACTGATGTACAACAGATCACCACTCAACCACCCTTAAGCCCCTCTATGTCACTGCTCACAGTTCCACTGTATCCCCAAAAGCCCTTGATTAGTTGTGATTAATCTCTGTAAAATAAGTCATGGATTAACTTTAATCTTAAGATTCCCTTAGTCTCTAATATTAGCATAGTGGGATTTTAGATTAGCTTCAATCTGAACTACTTGTTTTTATATATAATCTAAGGTTTTTACGTTAAGCTAAAGTTGTTATATTTGGTATCTAGTTGCAAAAAGTTAGTTGTTTGTGGTTGTCATCTTGAAAATAGGATTAAAGAGTGTTATGATCTGGCACTAAAACATAAAGATCTAGTCTCTTTAGATTATATTATGTCTTCTCTTGAGGTTCTTTAGTGCCCAACCATAATTATTAGATTAGTTTCAATCTGAACCACTTATTCCTATATATAATCTAAGGTTTTAAGGTTAATTAATATGCATTCCCATTAGTGGAGAAGAGGGGCATCTTTGATTGTCTATAATGAGTGCTTCGATTTGGGATCTTGGTTTAAATTTAACGTTTGCATTGTCTAAATCTCACTGTCTTTATAGCTTTTTTTCTTGCTTTTTTTTAGCTTTTTGTTCATCTTTATATGGAACTTCCTCCTTCTTTAACTTTAGAGTAATAGTTGGTGTAATTGCTCTAGTTGTAGTTGAACAATTAAACTCAATTGATAGTAGCATTTATGGCATATGGTATAATTCTTTGTGCACTTATTACCAATCCTCATATCTAGTCGAAATGATATACATCATTCTTAGGATTCTTATAGAAAAACTCTAGCCGAATATGTGGATTGGTAGTAAGAGTACATACTATAAATATTGCTATCAACTGAGTTTGATTATTTAATTACAACCACATAACATCGAACTATTGCACTAATTATTACTCTATAGTTAAAGGAGGAAGCTGCCATGAAGATGAACAAACAAGTAAAAAAATACAAATAAGAAGAAATTGAAAAAGCTATAAAGAAAGTGAGATTTAAATAATATAAAAATTAAATCTAAAATAAATCCCAAATCCAAGCACTCCTCAAAGAAAATTAAAGATGCTCTCTACCTCCACTAATGTGAGTGTATGGAATATAAAATTGAAATACAAAAATATGCATATTAATTAGCCCAAAAACACTAATTTATATATAGAAGTGAGTGGTCTAAATTAAAATCAATCTAACAGTTATTAAAATCCCACTATGCTAATATTAGTATACAATATCATAGCCACACACATACAAACAAACAAAAAAACAAACAAATAAATAAATAAATAAATATATATATATATATATATATATATATATATATATATATATATATATATATATATATATATATATATATATAAAAGCAATATACTATTATAAGATATAGATTGTCCATTTAGACTAAATATAATTCATCTATTTTTATACATAGCAAGGGTCTAAACCCTAATTAAAATACCTATTCCCATATCCCAAACACTTATACTAATGGACTTAAATGGTATTACAATTTGTTTATGGAGGGTAAAGATTTTTGGCAACATTTACTAGTGTGGGATTATGTTTTTGTATTTGTTCTATCATTCCTTTTTGCTTCTCTAGATTTGATATAGCTTTTTGCTAGATCTAAAATATAACTATTAGATTTATTATTTAATTTTAATTTCTTTTATAATTTCTTCTTTTGCCATGCTATTATCAAATAAAGAGTATATCACTTGGGTTTTTGACACAATCTGCCTTTATCCTTCACTAAAACTGAGGCAAAGGCTCCAATACCAAATTGTAAGCTATAAATTTTTTATTTCCAATTTGCTAGCTTACCTTGTTTATTTGACCATCATGGCTTTAGCTTTAGTTAAGTTCCCTCACTAAAGTTCCCACCTATTATACTAGCCCCTACTTGGTCCTACTTACTTTTAACTATTCACTGCATAAGTAATAAAGCGTTACCTATCCATCCACAGATTTCCTAAATTTCTCCCAATCCCCCTCCCTAGGTTAGATTAAACTTAAAAATTTGGCTACACTCCTTGCAAGCATAAGCAGCCAAACACACCAAACCTTTAGGTTTCTAATATCACTTGGTACAACAAGACTTAATCATAGAACCTTTTAAATCTTAAATTTTGGGTTCAACACTTGCTTCGGGGAGTCGTTGGTTGACCTTGCTAACCTATGCTACTTAGCTTACCTTTAGCGTGCTAATTAGTTTACCTTCTACCAAAGTTGCTCATGTAATGAGTAACTTTGAGTTAGGGACTAGATCACATACCTCAGTTTGAATTCACCCGACTTAATAACCATATTGATTCTGGCCTTCTTCAGGTAGGGATATTCTCTTGAAAAATGTCTTGCTTCAATGCAGTTGAAGTATATGTTGTTTCCCACGCTACTAACTAACTTGACTTTCTTATCTGTGGGTTTGTCCCTTTTCGCTTGACTCCTTTATGTATTTGCTCACTAGCCACTGGGTTTGCCTTTCTAAAAGCTTAAGGACTCATTCTTAAAGAAACTCTTCTTGAATTTCCCTTTACTATATGTCTTCCTTGGTTTGACTCCTTTGCTGAATGTGGACCTCAACCCTGTTGTGTTCCCCTTTCACAGGTTATCATTGAAATGCACCTTAATAGCTATATCTAATGCTTCCTTGTAATTGTAAGGAACCAACTCCCCGAGGTGTTGTAGGCTAAAGGATCCCTGAAAGCATGACCAAAATGACAAATAGTTCATCGGATGGGACCGAGTCTGAGATCGAGTCCAAGACCGACTCTGAGACCGATTTTGAGATAGAGTCCGGGATCGAGTCTGAGGCTGACTCAGAGACCAAGTTCGAGATCGAGTTCGAGACAGAGTCCGAGATCCGAGACCGGGTCCGAGACCAAGTCCGAGGTCGAGTCTGAAGTCGAGTCTGAGACCGGGTCCAAGATCGAGTCCGAAACCAAGTCTGAAGTCGAGTTCGAGACCGAGTCCGAAGTCGGGTCCGAGATCGAGTCCGAGATTGAGTCCAAGATCGAGTCCGAAACTGAGTCTGAAGTCGAGTTCGAGACCGAGTCCGAAGTCGGGTCCGAGATCGAGTCCGAGATAGTGAGGTTCAGGAACCAATCTTGAAAGAACTCTTTAGTGGTGCTTCCAAACTGACTTGAGGTTGAGACTGGGGCCAAGGGGCCTTGGGTGGGAGTGAGCATGGACTTGGGTGGTGCCGGAGAGGCCACCCAAAGAAGTGCTCAAGAGCAACTCCCACTCCTGAAAGAGAAACCAATTGCAGTGCTCTCGGTTCATGTGGAGTGGTGCCCCATTTGAGTACCTTGTGGCTCATTGGTCCTTACCCTTCTTAGGGGCTCGGGCCTTCCCTTCAGGATGGACGTGGGGGGGTAGAGGTACCTATACCGGGCTGTTAAGCCATGGTGTTTTGCCCTGGCGTCCCGAAGCATGTGTTGCACCCAAGACTTGGGATTTAGAGGGTCCTATGATCAAGTCTTGTGGTACCAAGAGATGTTAGGAACCTGGAGGCT